AGGAATAGATTGGTCAAATTTAACCAAAAATAAAGATGAAATACATAGTGAAATTTGATATAATAGAACTATTCGTTCCAGTAAAAATATCTGGTATATCAAAATTTCTGATATATCAAAAAATTTTGATATATAAATCACGTGAAATTTCATTATATCAAGTTTTTATTTGTACAATATGTACAATGAATACTTGAAAATTTAGATTAGATTCTTTTTTTTTTAATAGTAATATGTTTTTATTAATTATCTTAAATCAAAGAAATTACATAATTAAATAAAAAAAAAATATTTAGAGTGTAAGAAAAATTAAATTTTCTTATTCCCTATAACTAAGTTTATCCTATTATCCTATTTTAATAATAAACTATTCTAACTATTCTAAATATTCTAAACTAAATTATTGTCCGGAGCGAAGCGAAGGACAATATATGTCTACGCACTATGAAAAAAAAATCGATCACGTGAGTTTATCTGTCCGCCACGTGATCGTCACCCAATGAAATCGGCAAATTTTAGTTTTTCGTTCCGGACTTACAACGGTTCCCGTTTCCTAGTTTATACAGTATCTGTCTCACGTATTATACCTATTATTAGAAAAAAAAATTTAATCTGAAAGATTTTATTATATCTATAACGATCTATTGGCGTTATTAAAAAAAATGTTTCTCTATCTTTTTTATCAATAATAATATAAAAAAATGTTGTGAAACATTTTTATATTAAAATACTTTAACACTTAAAATTTTTATATATTATTATTGATAAAAAACGTTGCGAAACGTTTTTTTCTAAGTATAAACGTTTTTTTTAAAGTGTTTCAATATAAAAAAACGTTTCGCAACATTTTCTTATATTATTATTGATAAAAAACGTTGCGAAACGTTTTTTTTCTAAGTATAAACGTTTTTTTTAAGTGTTTTAATATAAAGAAATATATTTTTATATTATTATTAATAAAAAATGTTGCAAAACGTTTTTTTAAGTGTTTTAATATAAAAAAACATCCTGCAACATTTTCTTACATTATTATTAATAAAAAACGTTGCGAAACGTCTTTTTCTAAGTGCTTTAATATAAAAAAAATGTTTTGTAACATTTTTTATATTATTATTGATAAAAAACGTTGCGAAACGTTTTTTTCTAAGTGCTTTAATATAAAAAAAATGTTTTGTAACATTTTTTTTATATTATTATTGATAAAAAACGTTGCAAAACGTTTTTTTCTAAGTGTTTTAATATATAAAAAACATTTTGCAAATATTTTTTATATCATTATTGATGAAAAGCGTTGTACAAAATATTGCTTGAGTTATCCTATAAACTAATAATTAGAAACTAATAATTTATATCTTATTGGCTTCATTTTTGCTTAGATGAATCTAATGGTGATATAAGAATGATGATATCACAAAAATTGAATCCTCATTGGCTAAGACGAGCAATGTGATATATCACGTGACAAATAATATGTAACGACTCGTGTAGAAATTCAATGATCATCCAGGGTAATGTTTGCATCCAGGGTAAATTTTCAAAATCCTATAATGCGCCATACTGTTCAAAAATCCCGGGTGATCACCCTGGATGCATCCAGGGTCATCCTGGATTTTTGAACAGTACGGCGTTTAATAATCCAGGGTAAATCCTGGATACATCCCGGGTGGCTACCCGGGATTTTTGAACAGTATGGCGCATTATAGCATCCAGGGGGACCACCCGGGATGTATCCATGGTCATCCTGGATTTTTGAACAGTACGGCGTTTGATAATCCAGGGTAAATCCTGGATTGATCCCGGGTAGCTACCCTGGATGCATCCAGGGTGGCCACCCAGGATTTTTGAACAGTATGGCGCATTATAATATTCTGTGGTGGGTACTGGAACAAAAAAAATACTGGCTAGTTTCTAAATAAAGTTGACTTCGTTAAAAAAAAAAAAAAAAAAAAAATCTTATTCACCAATTATTAATACCAAAAACCTACCAAAAAAATGCGTGTTCCCTGTTCATAATTTATTTATCTTAAAACGAGAGCATAAAACATCAACATGTATATGATCAAAGCTAAACACCCTTTTAATCACGTTACATCACCACCAGCGGCAGATTCATCAGATATAACAATTTCTGCGACTCATTTATCACCTAACATTATCAATTGCATCATAGGCAACGAAACATTCTATTGAGTTATTGGATACCCTCGCACGCGCATTTTCGTGTGAACAAAACATCACCTTTTACACTGACGGAGCTTCACGACCAGCATACTTACCATCTGACCAGACTCTGACTACTACTAACATGGGCTTCGGATGGGTCAAAGTAAGCAATAAATCTCCACTATACACTTTTCATGGCAATACCACCTTCACGTCATCATCCACCAAAGAAGAATGATTCGCTATGATACTCACGTCTTTATTAACATGCCCACCAAAATTCACCATCAATATTTATACAGACTCGCAGAATTGTATCAACACTTTTCATCTTGTTAACGACGCATTAACATCGGACAGAAAAATCCTAATGATCAACAATCACCACGCATAGCACATTATCAAATTCTTGATCAATAACATGACTTTGAATATCACACTACACAAAGTTAGAGCTCATTCTAACATTTATTATAATGATCTAGCAGATGTCAAAGCAAAAAAAGGTCTTGACATACTTCCAATGTATATTAACCTGAAATTCGTCCCGGATGCCACAATGTCTCCCTTTTGGGATTCCATTGGCACCATTGATAGAGATATCAGAAAATTCAGTATAATAGTTACAGATGCACATACTTTTGATTCTTTCATCAACAACTCCAAATTATGATACTTTTTCACACCACAATTTAAATGAAATCAATTGGTCCATCACGCAAGTTTGGCTCAAATATAATGAAACTACGGACGTATGCAGTTCAGAGAAATCCAACAAGATGAATTCAAACTGAAATGCCTGAAATAACATATTACCTTGCGGCGATAAATTAAAATCACATTATCCTTCACGGTATACTGATATTCAGAAGCCCATCAAATGCCCAATTTGCAAAATGGAAGACGACACAAATTCACACTTAGGTTTCCGTTCTTCCAGAACTTAATCACATCATCAAAGATTTTAAAGCCAGCCTACATACTAAAATCTCTTTGCATGCCGATCAACGCATAACAACATATTTGCTCAATCAAGATCTGAACAATTCTCCTCTTTTCCATCCTATACGGACAAATCACACCCAGTTTATCTATTACTTCACAACTTCATTCCGCAACTACTTGTGGATCTAATCAATCAATACACCAACCGATTTAACGTAACGAAAAAGCTAACAATAGAATTTATGTTGCAGCTACACACAGAAGCTATGAAACAATGGGACATAACGGAAGGTATCACTACTACGAAAAAGATACACCACAAGAAAAAATGTCACCAACGGATTAAAAACTGATCAAAACCTAATCTTACATTCACAAGCTCTCCTTTACCATTAAGGAATATTAACAAACATTACGATGAAAATCATCAATTCGACGACAGACTACGTATCAACTATTATCAATGCCAGAAGACGGACGACCACTTCATTCCATTTTGGATCATCCTCATCACATCGAATTATCTGCATGCGGATGGTTAGAATAATCTTTTATCAAATTGTTAGATAGACAACAATTTTATAGAGAATATTTACTATTTTTTTCTTATTTTTCTTTATTTTCATCTCATTATAATTTAGGTTTTTTTATCACTTCTTTTAATTTTTATTTTTATGATGTTAGCAGGATACTTGGATGCCTAGGGCTCATGGTTGAATATTAGGCAGGACAACTTCTTTATAGGGGGGTTGAAATTACTCATGTATGTTGTTTAGTCTTGTATTTGTAATACCTGCTACGGCAGTTGTTTGTTCTTTCCGTAGATAATAAAAATAAAAATAAAATAAAAATTTATTTTTATACTTAGTTCTATTTTCTTTTATAAAATATTTATCTTATAATATGGTTAATTTGGTCCACCATGACCCTAAACTGGAGGACAGATAAGTATGGTTATAGTGGATAGGATCTTTATTTAGTTAAAGACGCTAGAATTATTATAAATAGAGCACTATGAATTAGGATTTGGGCACAGTTTTATAATATTAATAAAGTTTATATTTTGCCACAGCAAATAATACCTCTGCGATGGTCTGGTTGGTAAAGAGATATACCTTTATGGTTATTTCTTGCAGGTAATGCTGCGAGGCCATCTGGAAGTAGTTCTGCTTTAGACGTCCCCCCTAATTTGGCTACATCACAAATGTTTAAAATAATAAATACAAAAATAATTTTGCACACACTTATTATATATTGTCATTTCCGGAGTACATGTTCCGTAAGGTCTATATCTTTTTTTTGCCAATAATACAATGGAGTACGTTATTCTTTCAAAGGAAAAAAAATTGTTATAAGTATATCCTTTTTACATAGTAGGATTTTTTATATTAAAAAATTAAATTTTTTTTACAATTACCGTATATCACGGGCCATAGTACTCCCCCATGTATAGTATAGTATCTAACCATGTAAATATACCCCGGGTATAAACAAGATTGGGATAATATGGCCCGTGAAATACTGATATAAAATTTTGACTTTTGTTTTCGTTCAACTAGACTACGACTACTGAAAATATTTTGGCATTAATAAACTATATTTCTCTTCTCTTTTCTTTCTACGTTCTTGCCTCATTTTCGTGAATAATATTCAACTCCTCTTTATTTAAAATGCCATTCTAAAAAAATGTTTGGCTCATCAGAAATCAAAAAAGTTTCTTCCTTTTTAAAGAAGAAATCAAAGAAATAAATTACCATGTAACGTTGCTTATTGTTTCTCCATCTATTGTAACACTGTTCCGGTGAAAGATCATGGCCATTAACGAGCATCCACTTAGAGGCACCATTCCAGAGTTCTACTTTTACACCACTATGAGGGTCACTCAATTTTTCGATTTTATTAATATTTTCTTTTAAATATAATAATAAACATTTGACCGCTTCGTCTTTCCAAGTGCATCGTTTTGTGTTTTTCCCTGAAGATAATTTTCGTGATTTACTTCCACTCCATGCACTCAATGACATTCGTTTTAGACGTTTGTACATAGATGTACTTTTACCCGAAAAAGATATTTGTCTTGGACTTTCACTCATTTGTCTTGGGCTTTCGCACACAAGTGTTGGACTTTCACTCGAAAAGGACATTTGCCTTGAGCTTTCGCACACAAGTGTTGAACTTTCACTCGAAAAGGTCATTTGTCTTGGGCTTTCGCACACAAGTGTTGAACTTTCACTTGAAAAGGTCATTTGTCTTGGGCTTTCGCACACAAGTGTTGAACTGTTCCAAGATAGCTTTCGTGCTACACCTTCGCCAGAAGATTCGGTTAATTCTAATGAAAAAAGGAAAATCATTATCATTACTCAATTTTAATAGAATAATTGTACGATTATCGACTCTCGTTATATCATATTGACAGCTTAATTGTCTACGAATTCAAATCTATTCTCTGTCGTTATTTTACCTTTAACTTATTTGGGTTGTATAAGGAAATGAAAGATCAATTTAAGGTTAATAATACCTTGATTGGGATTATCAACATTATAATCTAAATAACTCGTTTCTTTCGGAAGGACATCGACCGATAATCCTATTACAAAAAAAGAGATTAATATGATTTCAGGCAGCATAAATATTAATATCTTAATATGTGTAGGATAAACTTTTTGATAATGGCAATAAAAGTAAAAAAAAGGTAATAATGAAAACCTTTTTGATTGACCGCCGTCTGTGACATTGAAAGGATATCGTTCGAATCTAATATTTTATTTTAAGAGATTACAGCGTTAATAAAATCGACAATATTAACAATGTTCCTCTATTTAAACGGCAATATAAAAGCCGAAAAGATACGTGAGAAATGTAATCTAAATAAAGCTAGCCTTTTTTTATTGATAAGCATCACCGTAAGTATAATGTATTTTTGTGAAAAATGTTGATGAATAAAGTTTAATAACCTACATCGCGAATTTGTATTATTGTAATTCTGACGATTTTTAATCGTTAATAAAAAAATCATTACCATAGTAACCTTTGGAAGCATCATCTGATTGAGATTGTGGTAGTAGGTTTACTATTAATTATAATTGAAAAAAAAATAACGAGTTTATTTAGTAACCAATAGATAATCGGAAATTTAAGCAGTTTAAGCAATTATAATATCATAACTACTAAATTAATCTGTAATTGGCGATTTTAATCAATGATAATATTTTTGCTTTTTTGAAAACTGCAATAATATTAATTTTAAAAAAAAATTCATTGTTATAAATTACCTTGATAATCTTCTTGTCCAAGTTCTAGTAGTGGATCAGTGATTATTAGATTTAATTAAAAAAGCAATTTTTATTTAGTACCGATTGATAACAGAGGTTTAAGCGGTTTAAGCAATTTATAACATATTAAAAAATTATCAATTACAGAAATGAGTTCAAATTCAATAATATTAAGATTGAAGAAAAATAATTGTTATAATAACCCCGATAATCTTCTTGCCCAAGTTCTAGTAGTGGGTCGATGACTATTATAATTAAAAAAAACGCGATTCAGTAATTTACGGCATAAAGTATCAGTACAAAATGAAGTTTGCTTCCTTTATTGTAATTGGTAATTTCGCGCGGTGTAATTTTTGAAACGATATTGGGGTCGAGAAAAAATTTTTTTTATAATAACCTTGTTTGTGACGACAATCATTTAGAGTAGGATGATCCGGATGATCAAATTCAAGTTGAGAAAGTGAATGGATTACTATTATTATAAAAAAATAAAGATTTTATTTAGCATTTATTCAAATGTAGACGTGTGTTTGATTTAAGCAATTTAAAATAATTGATTATACTCGATGTAAAACAACCTTGATTATGATGAGAATAATCCAATAAAGATAAAGATTGAAATTGTAAGTGGGCGTTTAATTCTAAAAAATTAATGAGTGTTATTTAGCATTCGTAGTTTTATTATTATTTCTTAAATATTTTGAAAATGAAAATACTTTGATTAGAATAATTAGTATAATTCTCATTCGAAAGGAAAATTATTTCATCCATTGTCGTTATATAAAATTGAGTAAGAAGACTTTGTTGATCTTTTATTATTCGCTATACGAGAACAATTTTTGATTTTTCTGAATGAGTATTTATATCATTAATCAAAATGCAGATCCTCCAACTAAATAAACACATACTATGTACTGCACCATATTTGAAAAAGATCATTATTATATTATGATAAAATAAGTTAGATGTATTTGACTGGATTATCCAGTAGTATTTGTTTCTATTTGATTCGCAAATTTTTGGACAATGTGTTCGATCAAAAACTATGTCGTACACAAATTCGCATAGATGTTAAATTATTATATTCTAATAAAAATAAGTTTGCCTGGATTATCCAATAGAATTTTTGTTTTCTATTTATTTGGACAATGTAACAGTGTCGTACAAAAAAAAGATTTTTAAAAAAAATTCGCATAGATGTTAAAATAAAAATAAGTTTGCCTGGATTATCCAATAAAATTTTTCTATTTATTTGTAATTTGATGGACGATGTAATAGTGTCGTACAAAAAAAAGATTTTAAAAAAAAATTCGCATAGATGTTAAACAATCATTATAACATTTTAATCGAAATAAGTTTGCCTGAATTATCCAATAGAATTTGTTTTCTATTTTATTTGTAATTTGATGGACAATGTAAACAGTGTACAAAAAAGATTTTAAAAAAATTCGCATAGATGTTAAACTATTATATTCTAATAAAAATAAGTTTGCCTGGATTATCCAATAGAATTTGTTTTCTATTTATTTGTAATTTGATGGACAATGTAACAGTGTCGTACAAAAAAAAGATTTTAAAAAAAATTCGCATAGATGTTAAACAATCATTATTATATTCTAATAAAAATAAGTTTGCCTGGATTATCCAATAGAATTTGTTTTTATTTATTTGTAATTTGATGGATAATGTAAATAGTGTCGTACAAAAAAGATTTAAAAAAAAATTCTCAACTTTTCTACTACGCAGTTCCGAGATGAAAGAATATCATGTAATAAACCCGGTCAACTATAGTACCTATTTTATCAATTACAAATTCTGTCACTAAATGTTAAATGCAAAAATTTTTGTTTTAATCTAGGGACTCTTTCTTTGTGCGTCATACTGTTTAAACAGATTTCGTAATTATATTGTTTTAAAGACGGTCAGTTTCTAATTTTGTAATAATTTATTTTTGATTGAACACATTGTCCATCAAATTACAAATTTGCGAAGCAAATAGAAAACAAATTCTATTGGATAATCCAGTCAATTTATTTTACTTATTTTTATTAGAATATAATAATGATTGTTTAAATCTTTTTCAATACGTAATATGTTTATTTCTTGATCGGCTATATATAAACACTCGCTCAAAAAAATTAGTAAATATTTAAACAATCAAATTTGTTCTTGTATCATAGCAAATAATAAAGGTCAACAAAGTCTTCTTACTCAAAATTATTTACAATGGATGAAACAATTGTCCCTTTAAGTAAGAATTATATTAATGTTCTAATCAAGATTTCATTTTCAAAATATTTACGAAATATTAATAAAACTATGAATGCTAAATAACAATTATTAATTTGAACGCTCACTTACTGCATCGGATTATTCTCATCATAATCAAGGTTGTTTTACATCGAGTATAATCGATTAATTGAAATTGTTTAAATCAAAACACACGTCTACATTTGAGTAAATGCTAAATAAAGTCCTTTTTTTATAATAATAGCAATACACTCATTTTCTCAACTTGAATTTGATCATCCGGATCATCCTAATCTAAATGATTGTTGTCACAACCAAGGTTATTATAAAAAAATTTTTTTCTTGACCCCAATATCGTTTCAGAAATTAAGAAATATTATCGAAATAACCAATTACAATAAAGGAAGCCAATTTCATTTTGTATTGATACTTTGCCGTAAATTGCTGAATCGCGTTTTTTTTTAATTATAATAGTCATCGATAGTCTTTTAGAATTTATACAAGAAGGTTTGTTATTATATAACAATGAATTTCTGTTTTCAACATTAATATTATCAGAGGCAAAGCAATACTATCATTGTTTAACATTACCAATTACAATAAAGAAAGAAATTTCATTTTTGTATTGATAATTTTATGCCGTAAATTGCTGAATCGCGATTTAATAATCGCTATTTTAATTATAATAGATATCGATCCACTGCCCGGACAGGAAAATCTAGGTTATTATAAAATTGTTTTTTCCAATTTTAATATTATTACACCTGTCTCTTATACACATCTAGATGTGTATAAGAGACAGGTATTGATACTTTGCCGTAAATTGCTGAATCGCGATTTAATAATCGCTGTTTTAATTATAATAGATATCGATCCACTACGACAAGAAAGTAGCCAAGGTTATTATAAAATTATTTTTTTCCAATCTTAATATTATTACAGTTTTCAAAAAAGCGAAACAATACTATCATTGTTTAAAACTACCAATTACAAATTCAATTTGCCTTAACTTTGTAATTGATAATTCGTTATTTTATTCAGATGATGTTTCCGTTCTAAATAATATTGTTATTTTATTCAGATGATGTTTCCGAAAATTATTATGGTAATGATTTTTACTATCGAGTAAAAATTACAGAATTACAATAATACGAATTCGCGCTGTCAACTTAATCATGCAAATTGCGATATACTCGCTCATATTTCCGGTATTATCCCTTTATTCGTTGATATTTTTTACAAAAAATACGTTATACTTACGGCGATGCTCATCGTGGTCATAAAAAAGGATAGCCATATCCGTTTTCCGAGAGTTTTGTCGTATCTTTTAACGGTTATCGCATTATTTTCTAACTAATAAGATTGACAAGTATTAATGTCGTTGCTTTAATAGAATTCTTCTCTATCCCTTCAATGTCACAAACGATCGACTATCGAGTTTATTATTATTATTATATTAATTTTTATTGCCATCTTCAAATTAAATATGGTTACTATACAATCCCTATAAAAAAAATTCCGATAAATGATCATTTTTCTAGTTTTTATTCCGAAGAAACTTAGACACGTGATCATTTTTCTGAAAATTTTTTTATAGGGAATTGTTTGTATCGTTCTTTTATTGCCGCATTCAATCCAAAAAGTTAAAGGGTGAGAGAAATAATACCAGAGAATAGAGATTCGGATTCGTAGTTAATTAAGCTTGTCATCATACTCGTACAATTGAGCCACTAATTGAGTAATAACGACAATGATTTTTTTTTTTCATTAGGATCATCTAGTAGTTGGAGCAGTTACGTCTATGATTCGAGTAGTAGTGATAGTCCAAATCAAATGTGTGAGAGCCCGATACAAATATCTTTTTCGAGTCCTGGAAGAACAAAACGATGCGAATGGAAAGAGGAAATGGATACATGTTTATTATTATATTTAGAACTAAACAAAGATACAATTAAAAAACTACATAATCCTCATAGTGGCGTCAAATCAGAACTCTGGAATGGTGCATCTAAGTGGATGCTCGCCGGTGGCCATGATCTTTCACCGGAACAGTGTTCCATTAAATGGAAAAATATTAAGCAAAATTACACGGTAAGTTATTTCTTTTTTTTTTAAAAAAAAAAGAGTTAAAAAAAAAGAGAAGTCTCTCATTAGCTAATCGTTTTATTTAGTGCGGTAAATTAAATGAGACGAAAAATCCAGTTCAATATAACTTAGTAAAAAAAATTATTGAACGAAAAATGTAATATTCCAATTTGTCAATATTTCAGTAATTATTATGTAGTTAAACGGAAAAGTTTAAGATTTTTAACTTTCTGTTTCATTATTGTATATATAATTAAAAAAAAAAAAAAATTAAAGGGACATATTTATATCAAATTTTTTCTTCTTGAAAGAACAAAGAACAACGTATTCAATTGTATTATTGCCAAAAATAATAGACCCTACGGAACATGTACTTCGGAAATGGCAATAAAATAATCAACACATGCTTTACCGCTTTGCTACAGTTGAGCAATAAACATTGTGATATAGCCAAATTAGGCAACTTTTTCTTTATAAATAAAGGAAATAATGAAATAAAATCAAATTTATCGATATTATGCCAACTTTGCATTAGCAACATTTATCAATTATTATTTACCTAAACATCGAATTCTATTTTTTCTTTTCTTCACCATTACACGAAATAACCTAATAATATTTCTTAATTGTACATGTTTGAAATCCGCGCCTTAGTTATCATCCTTATAAGAAATTTATTCCGTGTTTTTTTTCAAGCTGCTTATATTTTTAGTTATTTTTCCGTGAATGTGTCATATTCACGAGTTTTTACAGAAATTACGGATAAAATTTTTTACAGGGCTTCAACTGATAATTAACTGTAATGTGTTGTTCACTTATTTATCACCGAAATCTATTTACAGTATTTTATTATTTTTATTACATGTGCCTTTATCATCAATCTCGTCATTTGTTTTAAAAAAAAAATTAATAAAAGGAAATAAAAAAAATGGTAAATTACATAAATAAGATGTAGAAAACAGTATTGAGATTCTTACGTAACATATTGCAAATGTGGAAAAGTCTGTAATTCTGGTCGCATACGCTACAACAGCCAGGATTTTAGAAGAAAAATTATAAATGGAAAACACGTTGACAACATAGTAGCATGTTGTTGAATTCTCGAGTGCTGACAAAATACATACATAAATGTCAGTGAAGTTATTACAGAGGTCATCATGTTGCAATTGACCATGAAATACAAGAATACACGTCCCGGAATACACAAACCATCCGTTTCATTGTTAAAATTTGTCAAAAATCCGTTATATCGAGAAATCCGATATATTGAGGTTAAATTAATCATTCCGATATATCAAGACTTCCGTTGTATCAAAGTTCCGGTATATCGAATTTCACTGCTACGCCCGTAGTAAACTACGTTGCCACCGCAATCTTAACAAAAATGATATTTTATTAATAATATAAAAATAAATAAATAATGCTTGGTTTAATAATAATATAATACTAAAAATTATAAAAATAGAATTCTCGAATCTTTTACTAAGTCAGATTATCTAGCCCTTTATAATGAAATGATTTTCATCAAAATAAATTCTAAAATATTTTGTTTTCCCTTTTTGAAGTCTTCCCAATTTTGAGTTTCCCGCTTTTTGATTTTAGTAAACCTTTTTCTTTGTACGGTTCCCCTTTCATAAATGTAATTTTCCACTTTCAATAAATATTAACTTCGCAAAATCCCCAAAATTTGATCGTCAATCCCATTTCTTGTTATAGAAATAATCCCGAATATATTTCCCGAACCTAATCTATAAATAAGTTCAAACGCAAGAATAGCTACGGATGTTACATTTGTAATATTCCACAATTAATACTTTAAAATTTTATACACCTAAACTAAATATAATACTGTGCCCCACAACTAATAAATTTACTAAGTAATTCCTGGCACTACACTGTATATAAAGGGAATCTTTCCGAAGGTAACATGTGACTTTAATCATGTGACTTCACGTTACCACTTAGTTACACACATTTAAAAAAAATGCACTTTAAATAAAAGGAAAGCCAAATAAGATTGACCAATTGCAATTCAAATTTGGGCGATGGAATGTACAATGTGACCAAAAAGCTAATGATTATAAGAATTTTAATTTTCTTATGATAGTCTAAATCTGACCGGATTGAATCGATGCGGTCAGAGGTCAAGTCATACTGAATTGGTGTCCACCTCTGATTAGGGATGGCAACGGTCAGTCACGGTCAGTTATTGGTCGGTCATAACCGGTTATGGGTCTTTGACCGACCGACCATTTTTGCTGACCATTTTTCTGACCGTTTAACTGACAGAAAAAACGTTAAAAAGTTTTTTTTTTTGATTAAATCCGCTAACAAAAGCATTATACAACTTTTTTTATTGATTCAGCTCATAAAAAAAGTGTTAAATGAATAGGGTTGGTTAAATGGTCGGTTAACGATCGGTTAAACGGTCGGTTAAACGGTCGGTCAAACGGTCGGTCAAAACTGGTCGGTCAGAGCCTTTGACCGACCGATATCGGTTAACCGGTCATGACCGGTTATGACCGTAACCATTGCCATCCCTACCTTTGATCGATTTTATAATAGTCACGTCTACGTATATAAGTGATCAAATTGCTCAAATTCTAACTACAATCTGATTGGTTATACATTTTTTTGGTCAATCCGAAATGAACAGGGATTTCTTAAATAAAATACTATAAACTATTAAAGAAAATTTTTTTATTTATATTTTCCATTGGTCTTGATAACATTCAAAAAATTTCTATGTGAGTTTTATAATCAGATACTGGTAGTTAATTTTTCAAAAGTTAAAATCACTATGATCTATGAGATGCCAAATGTAGCTTGCCTTAATGTCCAAGTTTATTTTGTTTTTTAAGTAAACTCTAAACTACATGCGTTTTTATATATTCTACTATATACTGAAATGGTGACGATTTGAATAAAACTCATATTTTTGATATCTACTTTTTTGCATTATTCAATATTGTAGTCACCAATGCTTTATAAATGTAATTCAATTTTCTGTAATATTTTCTGCTTTGGAAGTAAATAATTATGACTAAGTTTCAAAAGATAATGAAATGCCCATCATTATTTGATATTCGATTTATACAATATTGTACAAAATGCATTTTCATCATGAGAATAATTTTCCGGTTGCCTTGGTTTTCTCGTAACACATTGTATTCTTTTTTTTTAAAAAAAAGAAAGATATATATATGTAGTATTTCTACAAAACAAAAAATAGATTTTTTTTATGTTGGTGTAAAAAAAATTTAAAAATTGAGTAATTTTATGTTTCTTATACTGTATATCCCCTTATTTTGTTACTCGGTTTCATAAGCTTTATTAAATTCTCTCAATACATCCTCTGCGATCTGTTTCATTTGATTTCAGATAAAAAAACACTTCAAACCAACTTCAGAGACTCTATTTCTCATTTTAGTTATGAGAACATTTTGTTTCTTTATTTAATTTCATAATTTATATTGTATAATGAATGCGAAATAAAAACAAGAAAGAACATTATTAATGAGCGTGAAAATGATCGTCTTCAATTTTAAAGTTGCATTCACAAATATATTTAAATAGTGATTAACACCTTACAATTCATCTAGTGTGATTATGACTTTAACGGTTAACTATCGTCTATCAGATTTAATCTTGTATTAATGATATTAATATAATTATAGGTTACAAAATTTGTATATAGCTTGGAAAGTAAAAGTAATGCAGTTCAAGGGCACATGTTTTATTTATCATATCTCCTTCATAACTGATGTCAACGATAGACTTAATACTAATCCTATATTTTCAATCCTATTTCCCTTTTGATATACCCATTTATTTCTATCTGAACTCATAGTATACATCTTTTATAATTTGGCAAAAACAAACTGCGCAATAGGATTTTTATAGAATTTATTCAGCCACTCATGAAGGACTTGGACTCTATATATGGTATGAACCTCACGATCCAAATCTTTCGAAACCTGAGAATTATCGCACAAAATCACTCGGAAAAAGAAAAAAACTACACGCCTCATCTACAGTCATCGTACTCGTAGCAAACAAATTTATACTCTTTCTGTTATCCGCCCTTACAAAAACTAATCTCCGCCCTTGGATATTAACGATGGACTTCTAGTAACTTTCTGCATTCAGTTCTTGGCAATCTCATAGAGACATTATCAATTTCTCTATGATCAATATGCTAGAGTTATTTCCATTTTATCAATTTTATGGTTATTTTTATTTTATTTTTTCTTTTATTAATTTATTTAATTTATTGCACATAAGAAACTGAAACGGTATCAACTACAATGAAAATAATATTCTACAGTAATAAATATTATAAAACTGACAGTCTGACATCAAGAAGCCCGTAGATTAACCATCTTCTGTGAGAGAGGAAAAGGAAAAGCATGACTAAACTATACGCAGGCAAATTGCTTTATTTGTATCTTCTATTTCATAAATAGCACCAAGATTATATTGAGCATACATATCCCCTAAATCTGCTGCTTGTTGATATAATTTAAAAAGATTCTTGTTTATTAACACTAGTTCCAATTCCGTAAATATTGCTCGTAGTACTTTTACGGTATAAAAGTTCGGATTTGTGATTTTATATAAAAACCGCTTTTATACCTCTTAAATAATCCAGAATTTGACTTTGATCGGCCGGTTAAATACGTTAAATACGTATTTTGTTTCAAAAAGCAAATAACACCGTTCATTATTCTTTCAACGAAATACGCATAGGAAAAAAGGTCCAAAATTTAATATTTTTCCCAAATAAAATATTTAATAAATAAACAAATAATTGGTTGATCAAAGTCATCAAACCTTTTTAGTTGTCAAAATAAATATAGTATTCACTTTATTAGCACTATTATTTTGTTAAAAATATATTTTACTATATTGTACATCTCTTCCACACGTAACTTATCTCTGTCATTTATATATAGCTTATTATTATCTTTTCTCTTGAAACCTTAGTACTAATTCTGATTGAACTGAAAAATATCTAAATGAGTTCCTACTACAATTAAATTGCCAATAACCTGAACGAATGTGGCGTAGTACCGCGGCCCGTCTCAATAATTATTTTCCTGTTCTCTTTTTTTTATTGATACCGAATGATTTTATGATTATCATATTAAATGCAATAAAATGTTTTATGATACATTAAAGAAATAAAGAAAACAATATGCAATCTAAAGACGAATATTTCTTTTATCGACAAGAATTCAATGACCGGTATTGTGTCAAATTGGTTCCTCTCTTTTTAGTTAACAAATTGTTGAGTAAAAATTTTCTCTGAATTAAAACATGGAACAAGAGCATTGGCATTTACTGTTGGCCAAATTTTAAGTCAATACATATTTAACTAAGCAAATGAATTATTATGAAAAGATTTAGTATAATTTTTTTAGTATAAGATTTTTAAGTTTTATGATGCAGTATAATTAATTATAGGTAGGGTTGTTAATAGTCTGGTCTGGTTCATCTTGCAGTCCAGGACAGACCGATTGATTCTATAAGACACAGTGGTCCCATGTACAGTACCTATAAAAAAAGTTTTTATTATTTTTTTTTGCATTTTTTTTTTAGATTTGGACATTCGTCTACCTCTTTTTTAGTTTAGTTGGCGCCTTAAAGGTTAGCACAACTAACTGTACGAGTAGTGCTTACAGTCCCATAGTATCTATAATTTGATCGTTCGACACATGACACGCCATCACGTGACTTAGATCGCCCGACGAAAATTTCCGGTGATGAATATTACAAAATCACGTGGGGGTGGAAAAAGTGTCGGTGATACTGGGGAAGATGGCTGACTCCCCCCTCCCTATGTCATCATTCAATTTAGGCATAATTTATAAAACTCCTTTGATTTATTTATAAGGATGTTTTTATCTACATTTATTTATTTATCAAGAAGCACTAACACATATTAATCAGTAAAATTAATTTCACGACTACTAATACTTTCACTATTCGTCCGTTTAGTTCAATATATATTAAGTTAAATTATTCGCTATATATATTTTTTTGGTCAACAGTAATTGCCAAATACTCTTATCTTGTTCCATGTTTTGTTGAAGTTCAACTCCGAAAAAATTTTGCTCAAACAATTATTAACTATAAGAGGTGAAATAATTTCACACGATATTTGATCATCATATTTTTGTTGAAAAATATTCGTTTTCTTTAGATTTCATGTTATTTTCTTTAACTTATGTGAGATATTTCGTTACATTCAATAAGGTAATGATAAAAATCGGTTGATGGGATAGAAGAATACAGAAGGATGAATATGTTGAGGGTGAAAGAATCGGTTGGTGAAAGAGGATTGTGTTAAGACGAGTTGCGGTGTTGCAACACATCTGTTTCCGTTTGACGATTCCCCTCCGAGCGAATTAGTCGTAGTTCTCATTTAGATATTTTTTTCAGTTTGATTGGAATGAATATAAAATTATTAGGGCTTCTAAGGTGATAAATAATTATATAAAGAAATAAATGAAATGAAAAACAAGTTAACACGTGAAAGAATAAGCGTGCAATATAGTAAAATATATTTTGTCTTTCAAAATAGTGTTAATAAGTTAATAATGTTTAATAAAGTTAACTTTTGGCGATGCCGCTCTTGTTGGTGCTGCTCTTGTTATTGCAATCTCTTGTTGGTGCTGCTTTTATTTGTTGTTGCACTTTGTTGCTGCCGCTCTTGTTGTAGCTGCTCTTGTAGCTGCTTTTGTTAATGATGCTCTTGCTGTAGCTGCTCTTGTTGGTGCCGCTCTTGTTGGTGTTCTTTTTGAACTTCTTGCTGGTGTTCTTTCCGCTCTTGTTGGTGTTCTTTTTGATCTTCTTATTGGTGTTCTTTCTGGTGTTCTTGTTGGTGCTGCTCTTGTTAATGTTCTTTTTGGTCTTCTTGTTGGTGTTCTTTCTGGAGTTCCTGTTGGTGCTGTTCTTGTTGGTGTTCTTTTTGATCTTCTTATTGGTGTTCTTTCTGGTGTTCTTGTTGGTGCTGCTCTTGTTGGTGTTCTTTTTGATCTTCTTATTGGTGTTCTTTCTGGTGTTCCTGTTGGTGCTGCTCTTGTTAATGTTCTTTTTGGTCTTCTTGTTGGTGTTCTTTCTGGAGTTCTTGTTGGTGCTGTTCTTGTTGGTGTTCTTTTTGATCTTCTTATTGGTGTTCTTTCTGGTGTTCTTGTTGGTGCTGCTCTTGTTAATGTTCTTTTTGGTCTTCTTGTTGGTGTTCTTTCTGGAGTTCCTGTTGGTGCTGTTCTTGTTGGTGTTCTTTTTGATCTTCTTATTGGTGTTCTTTCTGGTGTTCTTGTTGGTGCTGCTCTTGTTGGTGTTCTTTTTGATCTTCTTATTGGTGTTCTTTCTGGTGTTCCTGTTGGTGCTGCTCTTGTTAATGTTCTTTTTGGTCTTCTTGTTGGTGTTCTTTCTGGAGTTCTTGTTGGTGCTGTTCTTGTTGGTGTTCTTTTTGATCTTCTTATTGGTGTTCTTTCTGGTGTTCTTGTTGGTGCTGCTCTTGTTAATGTTCTTTTTGGTCTTCTTGTTGGTGTTCTTTCTGGAGTTCCTGTTGGTGCTGTTCTTGTTGGTGTTCTTTTTGATCTTCTTATTGGTGTTCTTTCTGGTGTTCTTGTTGGTGCTGCTCTTGTTGGTGTTCTTTTTGATCTTCTTATTGGTGTTCTTTCTGGTGTTCCTGTTGGTGCTGCTCTTGTTAATGTTCTTTTTGGTCTTCTTGTTGGTGTTCTTTCTGGAGTTCTTGTTGGTGCTGTTCTTGTTGGTGTTCTTTTTGATCTTCTTATTGGTGTTCTTTCTGGTGTTCTTGTTGGTGCTGCTCTTGTTAATGTTCTTTTTGGTCTTCTTGTTGGTGTTCTTTCTGGAGTTCCTGTTGGTGCTGTTCTTGTTGGTGTTCTTTTTGNTTTTGCCTGGGAGTTCAATGATTATAAGTTTCCGTGGTCCAGTTCCAACCTCTACTTTTAGAGATGATGCCGCTCTTGTTGGTGCTGCTCTTGTTGGCGTTCTTTCTGGTGTTCTTGTTGTTGCTGCTCTTGTTGGTGCCATTCTTGTTGATGTTGTTGATACCGCCCTTTTTAACTTGTTGGTACTATTGGTACCTCTCTATTTAACTTGTTGATGGCTGTTCTTGTTGTAGCTGCTCTTGTAGCTGCTCTTGTTAGTGCTGCTGCTTCCTCCTTGTTATTAGTACTGCTGCTCTTGTTAGTCCGTATTTCGTTGACAAAATATTGAACGATGTTTTTTTCTTTTTGAAAAAAAAAATACGTATTTAATGTTCAGTTTTAGATTAATTAAATTGTGAAAATTTTTTGATCAAATGATGAACCTTATAAATTCCAATAGCGTTGCACAGTTGCGTGTTACAATCAACTGAATCAATTCTTTTCAAGCATTCTAGAAGTTTCTTATATATTACCATATTGGGAATTATTGTCTGGAGGGACTGTATGACTATATGTCCTATTGATCGATCACGTGAATTTCTGGTCATTCAATGAAATCGCAAAATTTTGGTTTTATCTTTTTCCGCTCCGGACTAACAACGGTTTCCGTTTCCTAGTTTTTTTTTTACTCAGTTAACCAATTACACAAGCTGAGAGAAATCGTAGCTTATAGCTTTATTAAATTCTCATAATCAGGAAATAAATTACATAATAATTACAAAATAAAACATATCATCACATCCAACATTAATTATTAGAATAATCCAACGCTTCATCTTGTTCAATATCATCATAATTTTGATAATCATCCATAAATTCATAATTACGAATATTATCATGAACATTATAATGTAACAATAAATTAAATATATCAGGAAAGACTTTTTGATGTACGTCATTAGCCCAAAGGAAATCTAAACATAAAATATTAAAGAAAAAAATTTAATATGAATTATTATTATATAAACGAAGACAACAACAAAGAAATTCCTACCCAAATGTTCATACTCTAAAACTTCTCTCATTAGAACAGGAGTGGGTATTTGTTTCAATAACATATTCATATCAGCCAGACTATCTCTACCACCATAAAATATGGCAACAGGAGTAGTAATTTGTAATGTGGGAAATCTTTGACAAGAATATCCTAACGAAGTTGAAGTATAAGAATAAGGTGGTAAATCATCATACATCTGAAAGTTTCTTGATCTAATAATCTGAAACCAGTGCTATTTTAAAGGCAAGAAAATAATAAATCATTAGTTTTCCTTTCGCCTTTTTTTTTATTAAAAGAAAAAATCTGTAAAATTGAAATACTTACGACCAAACTTTTTGTACTTAAACAACTATATAAATGATAATAACCGATAGCTTTTTGAGCTTCACTTATATTTTTACAATCCCAACCAAATAAAATTCTTAAGGATAAATCAATAATTTTAGTAAAAATTGGTGGAGATAATACTTTTTGCCAAAATAATGCCATCGTTAACACAGCTTTACGTCCAAAAAATAAATATATTACATTTGGTGATAATTTCATTAATGCATCAATTACCGGATTCCTCAAACCTAAAAAATATAAACGAGAATTTAATTATTTCCTTATTAAAAAACTATTAAAACGTCTTAAAAAAAACTTGAATATTATTTATACCTTTTGGACTTGTTGCTGGAGCTAGCGCGATAAATAAATTTATTTTTTTGTTTAATTTTGAATTAATTGATAAAGCAGCAAAGCATTGAGCTGTTCCTTGTGAAAATCCAATATATGTTAATGATGGTGCACCTGTTATTTCTAATATATACTATTTTCAAGATAATTAATTACAATTAGAATTAGTATAGAGTCGATTTACTGAAGTTGATCAAAACATTAGTCTGATTATACATACATCAATTGTATCAGGTAAATCATATAAAGCCATTTCATCCATTGAATATTCCCAAAATTTTCTTTCGCTTGGATCAAATTTAGTATGTTTCATAGAATACTTATTACCTCTTGTATTACCAAACCAAACATCGTACCTAATCAAAAAAAAAATATTATTATTAAAATACGTTCTAATTTTCGTTGATATAAGAAAATTTTCTCATTATTTACCCAGCATCAGCCAATAAACAAGCCAACCTATTTTCATATTCAACATTACAAACCCAAAGTTCACTACAAGTCATTAATCCATGATAAAGTAATACAACGGGCTTAACAAAATTCTTTTTTTGATGTGAAGAAGAAGAAGTTGATTCAGAAAATTCTTGTAAAAAAGATGATAATGGTGATGATGATTTATTCTTTATTTCATTTGGATTTTTTCGAATTGCTGATAAAGAAATTCCATTATTCTTAAATACTGTTTCTATATTAGGTTCTTCATCTTGTTGAATTGGATTTAATGTAAAATTCATAGATTTAGATCCTACTGATCTACCATTAGGTATTCTTTGAAGTCCTAATATATAATCATCCTTTGTTTTTACTATATGTTCTTCAACTTTATAATCCCAATAACTAACTAATTCTCGGAAATTTGCCGCGTGTTGAAATAATTTTACTGGTAAAGTTCTTTCATCCTTATATAACATTGAAAATAATCTAAATGAAAACAAAAGTAAAAAAAAAAAGTTAAATTTAATATGCATTTTTACGTTTTTTTAACATATCATAATTTCATACCTCTGACTTTCTTCCCTAAGATAATTCACTCCTGCTTTAGGTAATAAATAAGTTATACCGCGAAGTAATTTTTCAATAAATAAAAACACGATAGCAATGAATAAAGCTTGATAATCTCTATAATTTAATCTTCCAATAATTGGAACTTCCATAATGATTTATTTAAAAAAAAAAAAATACAAAAAAAAAAAATATTTACGAGAAAATAAAATTAATTAAAAAAAAAAGATTTCTTCTTTTTAAAGATTATCAGATTATCCACGTACCGATTCATTTGCGTCATTTTTATACAAAATTTAAGGTATTCCGCAGTAAATCTTAAAAAAAAAAAATGTTGTACAGACTTGTTTTGGATCTGATTACCACGCTACAACTCGAAAGCGAACGGGCGTACGGTTTGTAACTGTGTTACGTAATATATATGGGCAAGAAAAATAAAATAATTCTAAAAATAAATTCACGTTTTTTCCTAATTGAACTAGTTTGGATTAATAAAGACAATGAACTTTATATAAAGAGAAATTTTATATATAGAAATGAACATCACTATCATTATGAAAATGGTAAATAAATTTGGTAATTAAATAAATAAATATGCGGTGTACAGCTCTAAAAAAAAGATTTGGTTAGTTTTCGGAAGAGAAACCCGAAAAAAATTATAATAATATATAATAAAATATTCCGGAAAAAAAATGAAAAAAGAAAAAAAAAAAATCTTTTTTTTGTTTCCTTAACTACATTTCATCAAAAAAATCAAGAGCTTAAATAAAATTTATTGATATTCAATATCCTACTTATTAACATATATTATATCATAATTTATTATAAATTGATAAAGATTTATTTAAGGGGCTAAAGTTTATTATACAAATAGCGTACATATCTGTTACAAACAATTACTATATTAGTTAGTGGGTTCTTTTAAAAGGTTTTTTTTAGTCATTCAGATTTCTTTCTTCTTTCTCTTTATCCCTCTCTCCAAAATAATAATAAAAAAAAAAAAAAAAAAATTTTTTTTCTCCACTTTTTACGATATTAATAATATTTAATTTATATAATGGGTCAAAATAATTTAACAAATATAATAAGAAATAAATACTTTATAACTGTAATAGTTCTTATTATTGTGTTCGATTTCTTGTATACAATTTTCTCTGATTCTCCTCCGTCAAATGATCAATTTACCGTGCCACCACCTGGCTTATTTATTCGAAAAAGACCTAATGGCATTCTTGATGCTGACCGAGTTATGAAACGTTGTGACATGAAATTTAGTTTAGTGGAGAATTGTTTAGAGTATCTTGATAAAAAAGAAGATGACTATATTATAGAACCTCCATCCCCAATTCCACAATGTAACGAAAATGAACCTCCAATGTTATTTCATGTATTTTGGCGTGGTATGATAACCGACAAGTTAACTTTACAAATGAAAAGTTTTCTTTATACGCAACCTTTAGAATGTTCAAAATTATACGTCTGGTTACAAGATTCTGACACTGATATCGATTTAAATCCTTTTGCGGGAAAAATATATGAAAAATTTTCACCAAAAAATATAGAATTCAAAAAATGGGATACAAAAGAACAATTGGATTCAGATCCATTATACAAAGGTTGGGAGAATATCATGTCTCGTCATAGTTCGGTATCATTTAGTGATTTGGTTAGGTTCGTTGTATTAAATAGATATGGTGGAATGTATATGGATGGTGACGTACTGTTCTTACGTGATATGCGTCCATTATATCATTCGGGTATAGATTTTTCATATAAGTGGAGTTTTAAATCAGAATATAACACCGCCGTATTAAGACTTCGTGCAAACGGAACCACTAGTAGGAAAATTATTTCACAAGCAATGTTAAACAAGATGAATTTTCATCCTTTTGAAATCAAAAATTATTTATTAGCAAATACAAGTGTTTCCTTGGATACCGCTACCACAAAATCTATTTATAATTCACATCTTTTTATGTTTTCCGTACCTTTATTTGATCCTCTTTGGTTAAAGAATGATCACAGACAAAATAATAATTTAAGACCTAATCTTAGAGGTATGGATGATGTTTGGGATCCTAAATTTATTCCGGGTGAATTTCCTAACATTGATAATTTAAATGATTACTCTCCTTTGGATTTGAGAAAAGCTGATGATTTTTTCAGGGGTGCTTATGCCTATCATTGGCATAATAATTGGGCTAGAGAATTAATACCTACTTGTTGGATGGGTGTAATAAATACTGCTTATGATGCTTTCATAAACGGTACCCAAAGAAACATTTATGGCGAATTTATTCAAAGTTATTAGAAGACTTTTCTTTTTTTTTTTTTATTATAATTCTTAAAAAAAAAATTGTAAACATTTAGTTTTTTTTTTGAACGAGAACTTTCTCAGTTTAGTTTTAGAATAAATATGTATATCTTTGAAACTTTTATCATGTACAAAAAGAAAGTAAACGAATAAAATAATAATAATAATACTAATAAAATATTTATTTTTTCATTTATTTATATTAAGATTGATGGATTATATAAAATTAAAAGTTCAGTTACAAATAAAAGGGCGAGGTTAGGAATCCCAATTGGCGATCGGAGTCATCAACTCATCGTGTTATTTTATATATGTATATATTATATATGTATAACAAGCCCAAAGGACTCTTTGCCCCGTTTCAAATACAGAATGTTTGTGTAACCAATGTTACTTATGTTACTAATACATCAATTGACGTTAAAACAGCTACGCTAATTTTTTCCACGTTAGATGATAATTTTCTGAAAAAAAAAAAATAGAAAAAAAGCATCTATTAACTTATCCTTCACTTTTGTTGAATTTTCTTTATGAAGATATTTCCGAGTAAAGAGCATGAAAAAAAAGCCATTTTCAATCAGGAAAGGTAAAATACTTAAATAAAGAATACTTAATTTTTTGAAAAATATCCTTAAAAGACGGCATAGTAACGGTATATATTGGAAAGCATTAGATTAAAAAAGGTTAATAAAATTTTTGATAGATTATTGGCTAAATTTTTTTTCTTTATTTTTAAAAACGGATACATTTAGTTTTTTTTTAAAAAAAAAAAAATTACAAATAAATAAATAAATAACACTAAACTTAAAAAGGATAAAAATGTTAAGTTCTTAATCTTAATTTTTAATTTCCAATACGTATTGACTTAAATATTTCATTAAATGACGTTCGAGATGGTCTTTTTGACCGAAAGTTAACGCTAAATACTCATGTTCCATATTTTGTTGAAGTTCAACACCGAGAAACTTTTTACTCAAACATTTATTAATTTCGAGAGGAGAAACAATTTCACATGATACTTGATAAAGTTGGTTATTACATTGTTGCTGATAATAGAAAGTATATCCATTTTCATTGAATTGAATGTTACGTTCTTTTAATGATTTATTTAATAAGTAAGCTACAGTGTCGTTTGAGACTTCCTTGCAAACAACATAATAATGATATAAATCATTTGGTGGTCGAAAGAAAAAGATAGTAGAATGAATTTGAAGATTTGAGGAAGAATTAGTTTGTTCATTTGCGTTGTTGTCTGTCGGTTGAAATTGAAAGCTAGGAATTGTATTAGGAGACTGCGCTACATAGGTTACGTCGCTCGAAGCAGTCAAACTTTCTTGCCTTTCATGAGATGGAACGTCATTATCTTGTGAGTTATAAGGAATGGAAATAAGAGAAGGCTGATTGTTTTCTGAATTAGGAATTTGGACTTGGGAATTCATATTGCGATGACAAGAATATTTAAATTTATTGATAATAGTCCGCAGTAACTAAGGTTTCCTTAATTGGTAATAATATTTGCAGATCGTAAGTAGCAAAAAGAATTTTTGAAATAAAGGAAGAAAGATTTTGAGAAGAAAGGAATTTTTAAATGGTTTATATTTAAAAATTCATATTCAAATGTATGTGAAACAATCAAAGTTATTTTTAGTATAGTATAAACTTTTCAATTAAGCCGCGTTATTATAAATTATATTAAATCGCACGATTAATAGATGTTTTTTTTTATCGAAGAGATTACGGTAATAGAATGTTCGAATTTAGATTCGAAATTTGTCTTGTGATATCCAGTCACGTGATGTCAATTGTTGAAAAATTAACACGTTAAAACGATCAGTACAAACACTTTTATTTTATAATAAAAAAAATAATAATACATGTAAAAAAAGTATCAATTCATTATAAATTATATTAAATAGCAATGTTTTTTTTTTTTTTTATTTCGAAGAGAGATTGATAGAATGTAGAATGTTCGAATTTAGATTCGAAATTTGTCTTGTGATAGCCAGTCACGTGATGTCAATTGTTGAAAAATTCTCACGTTAAAACGATCAGCACAAACACTTTTATTTTATAATAAAAAAAATAATAATAATACAAAAGTAAAAAAAGTCTTATTAATAATATTTGAATAATATAGATTCGAATGTCCATTTGAAGTTCGAATATCCATTGAGATTCGAATTATATGTATCATTTAATTATAATATGATGATAAACAATTTGCATACTCTGAAAATAAAAATAAAGTTTCTGTAATTTCGTCTAGAAATGTGTATTATTCTTTTTTTATTATAATTTATTCTCTTCTATTTTTTTATTTTGATTTGAAAATTAAAACATATTTTTTTAAATATATTACTTAGGAGTGTAAAGGTGAGCTATCAAAGTTTTGAACAATTATTAAATAACATATGTCAAATTTTAAAATAGTTTATTCAGTTTATTTGCTAAAATAAATCAACAATAAATTTTATAAAATAAATAAAATCATCGCTTTTAACTTTTGAGAAAGATAAAATGTCGTATAAAATAAATCTGACCAGTCAAGCCACATTGCCGAAATTTTTATAAAGCAGGATCAATCATTTCATGTACAACAAGTGTATACATATTATTTAAGTGCCGTTTTTTGGAAGAATCCTTAAATAGACCCAGCGGATATCCTAGAACCATAGAACATAACAGTATTTATCATGTAGTGAGTAAAATTTTATTTTTATAGGAAGGCCTAGGATAAGAAAACTTGGATTTTATTACAAATCACGTGTTCATAAACGCTTTCCATCTTTTCACGTTTTTTTTGTTTGTGGTAAATTTCACATATAAAACAAAAAAGTGCATTGTTATTAAAATATTTTTATGGCCCTTTTTTTTAAAAAAATAGAGAAGCTTTTATTTGTTATTTTTTAATTGTTTCAATATTACCAACAATATGTTTGCTAAAGATACTTTTACAATAAAAATTTAAAAACTTTGGATAAACTAAATAAAATTTTATTAAGTTAAATACAATATTTGCAAAGTTTATACTATGTGTGTTTTTTATAATAATATACTTTATTAAATATTTTATTAACACTATCTAGTGTGTATAAAACTTTCACTTTTATTAATATATAGAAATCTTTGTGAGCTTATAACAAAAAACAAAACCATGACATAACTCTTAGTTAGTCACGTCATAGACATAATTAATTCATAACCCTTAAAAGAGCATGAGTTTGCAATCTACTACTAATTAAAATATATAGATGTAATGGTATATAACGTAACCATAAGTTAATTCACATCATAGATGTAATTAAGTTTGTACTTTTACGGATCACTGATCTCAAAATTTTCCAACAATAACGTTTGTTGTGATCAAAAATTTCCACCTTTTCGGTAAAATCGGGCCACTAATCAAGTTGCGACCAAAAGGCCAAAACCCAATCAAAAATCTGATTATTCAATAGGGAGAAGCAGGTATTAAGTAAAGTAGTACTGTACGGTAATACACATTCGGCGGTGTATCTGATGTAAAATAGTATGTATATTGTATTTTTGTTAGTACGTATGATTTTAAATCGTACGTACCACTTCGATTGTTAAATATAGAAAAATTGTACGTATCACGTTATGTAGTGAAAAAAAAATCACACATACGTATATAATCATACTTTTTACCAGCCTCGTCATACACTTTTGCTCCTTCTTTAAAATATGAAAATAAAAATTTAAATAAACATAATTATGTGTTGTTTCACTCGTTTGTACGTAATAAAAAAATTTAAATCATACTATCAATACATACATATTATTATATATTGTGATAAGTATACAGTGACACCTCTATAAGTGCACCCTCTATAAGTGCACGCACTATATAAATTCTCTTTAAGTGCACGGTGGACCTGATCCCAACTTATAAGAGCTCTTAATATTTTACTCTCTATAAATGCACACCCNAGTGCACGCACTATATAAATTCTCTTTAAGTGCACGGTGGACCTGATCCCAACTTATAAGAGCTCTTAATATTTTACTCTCTATAAATGCACACCCTCTCTAAGTGCACATTCTACTATTTTTTTACTATGGTCCCAAGGGGGGTGCACTTAGAGAGGTGTCACTGTATATGTACAGGACCCAGAAATATATATACAGGGGTAGGGTACACAGATGCGTCGCCTGGAATTAGACGGAGTAAAGTTTTGATTTGCGTACAATTTTAGAATTTTTCATCTATAGTTAGGTCATCAAGATTGCATCAAAATTTTTATATGTAAAAAATTAGTTTGCGTATTTTTTGGCTAATCTTATATATATAATATATTTACTGTACGTACTAACCGCATTGTAATATTTAGTATAAATTGAAAGAAATTTCTAAGGGTTAAAAAGTGAAATTTTAGAAAAATATTATTAAAAAAATGGTAAATTCTATTTTTTCATAGTATTTTGTTTTATAAATAATATAGAAGCCATGATAAAATAATTAATAACTTAATGTCTGAAATTTTATTTGCGTATTTTTGCAGGATTTTCAATATCAGGTGTCAATTATGCGTACTACTCATATAAAAAGTCTCTGCGTACAGCTCATAGTAAAAAAATTTTTCGCCACCTGACCTCTATATATATATTTCTGGGTCCTATATGTACCATAAAAAATCATACATACAAAGTAAAATTCCACAAACATACTAACTTACAAAATCGTACTATACTAATATTATATATACTCCAAATTCGGACGGACGTTAATCTTTTTTGTTTGTACGTACGTTTCTAACAGATAAATTTTTTTATACTAGTACGTACGAATGCTTTAAACATTTTCGTACGACTTTGAATTTTCGTACAATTTTGAATTTTCGTAAATGTTTTGTTTTTTAGTAAAATACTTTATGTTAAAAAATATAAATATATCAATTATACTCTTTGAAGATAAGCTTGTAAATTTCTATTTCTTTAATAATATTCAGCTCTATAATAATAAAATTGACTCATAAAGTCATAATAATTATATAAACCTATTCAAATTCAGGATTTACCAATTCAATTGGAAAGTCTTCAACATCGGATATATTATCAATATTCATATTTATAATTATTTTTCTTCTTCAAAGCTGTAAAGATTAAAAAGAGATATTTATGATAAATATATCATTACAAATATATAAATTAATCAGATCAATTATGTTACTCAAATATTATGTAATTGTAACATTTTCATTCTCGAAAGTTCTATCACATGATGCTGCGATGTAAAAAAATAGTCGTTAGAAAAATGGTGTATAGAAAATACAGCTTTTTTTTATCTAGATCACAAATGGTAGTTATCAAAAATTAAGGTAATATTAAATATTCGAAATGATACATAGAATAGTATAATATCTCGCTTCTTTTTTAAAAAAAAACACTATAGAACTACATTCTCTGTAGTAAAAAATATTTCCTGTAACTTTATATTAGTGTGATATTGTATGAAAAAGCTTTCTTGATAAATTGTACTCTAAACATATCAGATCGATATTTTTGCAGCTACTACTATATTAAAAAATAGTTATTCAAAATTACTGTATATTTGACTTGAATGGAATACTGTATCAAGAAGAAATCGGAACCGTAACATATCATTATAAAGACAAGTTAGTTTGACAATTGACTGGATAAAAGACTTTTCATATATTTATAAAGAGATTTTGATTTTTTCGCTCACTCTTTTCTGTCTTAATACTTTCTTTTGCTGTTATAAATTTATCTTATTGTAGAAGTTTTTATTTTATAAAAAAATTTAATGAAGTTTTTTTGCAATTTCATACGGAAAATCATTTGTAAAATAACGTGCAAGCTCTTCTGAAGTCGATCATCGGATTTCCCTTAATTGTCCGCGGCCTGTAGTGTTAATACAGTAATGCAAAACAATCATGTAATAAAGCATTATGTAAAATATTTATGTATATATATATATATATTATTGACAGCAGTACGACCTCTATATAGTCACGAAGGTTTTTTATATCACAATGTGTGGTTATACTTATACTATTGTAATATATATTATTATTATTATTATTATGTATATATATGAATATACATACAGTCAGACCTCTATATAGTCACAAGGTATTGTAAAATATTTATATTATATAAATATATTATGATATTGTATATTGTGTAACCATGTAAAAAAAAAAAAAAAATACATTATAAATAGTACCCGTTTTAGATAAGTTTTTTTCGAAAAAAAATTGAGATTCACATTCACATCCAATATGAATCAAACTAATTCACAAATTCAAGTTTCTGACTCGACGAACTTGTCGCCTCCATTAATTACTATCCATTCGAATTCTCGAGATGATAACACCCTTACAGACTCACAAACGCAAACAGCACTGAACTATCAACCACCTCAACAAACTTCTCAAATTACACTTGCACAAATCTTTACTCACCCTAATGACTTTTTCTATCGACCACCAAATGATTTTTGTCATTATTATGTTAATTGTAAAGAAATTTGTTATGATACTGTTACACATTTACTAAACAAATTTTTAAAAGAACGTAACATTCAATTCAACGAAAATGAATATATTTTTTATTACCAACAACAATATGATAATCGATTTTATCAAGTATCATGCGAAATTGTTTCTCCTTCTTTAATTGATAATTTTTTAAATAAAAATTTTCTTGGAATTGAACTTCAACAGTATTTGAACCAAGAGTATTTAGCATTTACTTTTGACCAAAAAATAAACCTTGAATATTTTTTAAAGCAATATTTAAGTCAATATATATTGAACTAAGATAAATTATTTTATTTAAAATTAAGAATTTCGATTCATATTTTATAAATAAGTTTATAATTTTGGTAGTATATAATAAATAAGTTATTTCACGGAGTCATTGCGGTTTTCACGGCTGCGCCATGAACTTAGAAATTCATCATTGGCCGGTATATAACAATTTGTCAATCATGCGCTTGGCGACATTTCATTTTTATTATTTGTTAGTTGGTATATCATGAAGGCGATCAAAGAAAATTCTTTTTTTTTTCATGGATGTTATTTAGATGTATTGTATTTCTATTTATAAATATATATAAAATTCATTTTTTTTATTAAAGCTTTAATAATCACTGGTCAAATTAATATTACAAGTTGAATTACAAGTTTGAATAAAGTTAAAATTTAGTTAATAACATAATCGAACGAGACGAACGATAAGTTTGTTACTGACTCGAAATTTGAAACCATATTTCCATGCGAAAGAAGCTGCCACCTTCTCTCCCGACAAGTGAGTGAGTATCAGATAATTTGATAATACAAGAGAATTTGATTAAAAATAAGACACGAGTTTTGGGTTAATATTCCCCCTTGAAAAACAAAAAACCTTATAAAAAAAAATTCTAGTAAAAACTCCGATAAATGATAGTTTTTATTCTGAAGAAATTCAGACACGTGATCATTTTTCTCAAAAATTTTTATAGGGAAACTCTTCCAAAAGTTCCTCCTTATATAACTAATTTAAGGGTACTTATTTTAGGGTTATTAACTTCTAATGTATTACTAATACTAACTCTTGGAATTACATCGTTATAACCATTGGTTCACATTATTAACATGGTAATCCGAGTTTCATGTTCATCTTCTTACTTGATCGTCATGTGATGGATCATAAGTTATTACTGCGCTATATGTTATGACCTTGAACATATGCAAACTTATCCAGATTACGTATATAGACCAAATAAACGTAAAAATGAGAAACGTAGACAAGCTCGTAAAAATGCTGTTGCAACTTTTAACTCCCAAGATACGACTACTACTAATAATTACGAAGGTGGTGAAGCTGGTCCTATCCAAATTCCAATATATTAATCCGAAATTGTACCGGACGTTTAATGTCACCCTTTTGGGATTCCATCGGTACTATTGATAGGGATATTAGAAAATTCAGTAAAACCATCACAGATACACAAACTTTTGACTCCTTCTCCACTAATACCAAGTTACAAGAAACATTCTCAAACCACAAGACATCAATTGGCCCGTCACTTGGATTCATCATAACGAAACTACGGACGTATGCAGTTCGGAGAAGTCCAAGAAAGAAAGACGCATTTAAATTAAAATGCTTAAATCATATATTGCCTTACTGCGATATTTTATCTTCACATTATCTCATTTTATTTAAATATTCAGACACCTATCAAATGTCCAATTTGCAAAGCGGAAGATGACACTAATTCACATTTAGGTTTCTATTTTTCTGTTTTACTAGAAATCAATCGTATCATCAAAGATTCCAAAGCGAACCTATATACAAAAATTTCTCTTCACGCTGGTCAACGTCGTATGACATACTTACTTCCTAGACGGTGTAAGACCTAAGCCCGTGATAAATCACGTTGCCACCTTAGGCTTAACAAAATAATACTTTTATTAATAATATAAATGAATACGATAATATGCTTGGTTTAATAATACTAAATAACGGTTAAATATTTATCCTAAAATTCAAAATAATTCTCAAAATTCGTATCAAAGTCAAATTATTTTTTACTAATTAGAATATTTGATTGACAATATTGTTGATCTTTCCAGAATTATCACAAATATAAATTTCGTCATGATCTACAAATTAATCAGCTGGTATCCTAATCACTTGACTTAACAATCTTTTTAGTTTAACGTCATCTCGGATGTTACATTTATAACGTCATATAATTTTAAAATACTAAAATTTTTATACACTAATTCTAAATATAATACTGCGCCTCATAATTAATAAATTTACTAGGTATATTACGGCATTACAACGGCTAGACCAAGACCTGAATAGCTCTCCTCTCTTCAGACTTATCACAGACAAATCACACCCAGCCTACTTACTATTACATAATTTCGTACCACAGCTCCTCGTGGACTTAATTAAGTATACCAATCGATTCAACATCACAAAAAAATTAACTTTAGAATTTATGTTACAACTACTAACCAAATTATATTCTGCCATATGGCTTAAGCACACCGACGCCATGAAAAAATGGGAACTAGCGGAAGGTATCACCACTTCGAAAAAGAAACGTTACAAGAAAAAACGCTACCAACGGACTAAAAACCGTACCAACCAAACCGTCATAACAACGGGCGTCTCTCGCCCACGTCCTTCGTCTTCACCGAATAGGACTTTCACTAAACATTATGATGCGAATCATCACTTCGATGACAGATTACGAATCAATGTCAAAAAACGGACGATCATTTCAGGAATCATCCTCATAACGTCAAGATATTTGCATGCGGAATAGTCATTTTTCGAATTGTTTAGATAATAGAGAACATTATATATATTTTTCCTATTTTTCTTTATTTTCATCACATTATAATTTAGATTACTTTATCACTTCGTTTAATTTTTATTTTTATGGAGTTAGCGGGATACTCGGTCATGCCTAGGGTTCAAGGTTGAATAATAGGAGGGACGACTCCAATCCAGTGCGCGGGGATAGAAATTACTCACGATTTTTAGTCTAATCTTGTATTTGTATTACCTGCCGCTTTCTATTGTTTGTTTTTTCCGGTTCCTGTCTATATTATAAAAATAAAAATAAAAATAAAATTATACAAATGGTGATCGATATTGGCGTCACTTGCCTACTACTTTTATATCATTGGCAGTTTGGCACTACACCATCAACAAATAGTTTATTATGCTGTATCCAATCTCACCTAATTTATGAAAAGAAGATTTAAAAATTCTACTATTGGAAAAAACGCCGAATATCACGTAAAATCATAATCGTATCTTTGTATAATTAAAATTATGTTATTTAGGGTGAAGTAGATGTTTATCAGCTTAAAAAGAATTAAAACTCTAAAGTTCCATTACTGAGAGCTCTGTTTGGTTCTGTGAACTGAACTGTCCGACTTGAGTGATTTAGTTGATCAGTTCCGTTCAATACTTCAATTTTATTTTATTATAAACAAATATTGTATAGGTTTAAATGCAATCAATAAGATACTAAATGATTTAATTTAATATTATTTATTTTGCTAAAATATTAATTTTCAGTTAATCTTCACTATATATATAAGCGCGAAATTGTTTTATCATTATTACCGTCCGGAGCGAAGCGGACAATATATTTCCAAGCACTATGAAAAATTTGTCCACTCACGTGAATAATTCTCTGTAAATTCGAATCGACTAGAAATTTTTTCTTATTAGAATTGCCGGATTCTTCAAAACCAAATAGGCTTAGATCACATGATGATTGATGATATGATTTTAAATTTAACATCGGGTTAGCCCATATTTATACTTGCTCCACTATAACCAATCGATTCCACAATTATTAATGATTATTTCGGCGATGACATTTTATTTTGCAACCTTTTGGAAAGACAATTTATAAAACAACATTTTTTCACAACAACCCCCTAAAAAATTTATTCCATGTTTCTTTTTATGTTATTCCGTAAATGTATCATATTCACGGAGTTTTTCGGATGAAATTTTTACAGGGAGCCCTTTGTTTAATTATAACACCTTCTCAAGCCTTTTTAACGCTTTTGAATAAATATTGATCGTCTTTATTTAGTTTAGTGTGCCGTGTTTTATTTGACGTGACTGGTCAAACTGTTAAAATGGTTAGTAATTTAGGTTTTATAGGCAGTACATAATAATTTCTTCTGATCTTCAGCAAGTTTGATCTTCAACATGATGATTTCATGGAATTTTACGGAATTATATAATATTCCCAGAATTAGATATAAAGGGATGATGTTTTTCGACGAAGATTTTATTTCCTTGTTCGTCAATGATTTTTTTTTTACTTATCATTGTATCTCGAGAAAAAAATAAATAAAAATCATTCTATTGTTAAATACTAAAACAAACTCTAATTAACGTAGATTTATGTTCAAATTTAATAACCCTAACAGCTAATAATTTTTTTAAAATACAAATAAACTTAACCTCTTAATTTTATTTTAATTTTAATTTTATTTATTTAATAATTTATATTCATTACTAAGTCAAATATGAATCAAGATCAAGTTTCTAACTCAAAGAACTTTCCATCTTCATTTACATCATCTAATATGAATCAAACTCAAGTTTCTAGCTCAGAGAACCTTTCACTTTCATTTACCTCGTCTGATATAAATCAAATTCAAGTATCTACTAACTCGGAAAACATTCCGCCTTCATTTTCATTTACTACTATTTATTCTAATTCTCAAGATAACAACGCCCTTATCACTTCTCCACGACAAAATGCAAACGCATTTCACGTAACTACTATGGTTCAGGATATTCATCCTCAATATGATAATATGCAAACGTTGCCTCAACAAACATTACAAACTACACTTAAAACTACACTTTTTCTATCGACCTCTAAATGAATTTTGTCATTATTATGTTAATTGCAAAGAAATCTGTTATGATACCGTTAATTATTTATTAAACAAATTGTTAAAAGAAAATAACGTTCAATCTAAAGAAAATGAATATATTTTCTACTATCAACAACAACATGACGCCAGCTTTATAAATTATAATTTAAATCTTTGTTTATGGTCAGTAACAAATAAGTGAATAAAGATTGCCACTTGCGTCATTTATATCTCATCAAAGTGAAATTCATATTTAACTACCCATAATTCAATTCTAAATATACGTTGCTGTAAACATATCACAGATAGATGGCATTTATATATTTAACATATTTTAATTTATGTAATATTTTTGTCATATAGACAGAATAGCTTTATGATATTTCTAATATAACATAAATAACATATTTTTGGAATATTTCTATTATATACTAAAATACAACTAATAAAATATATATCATGGTTATGTGCATTTTGCAATGCTTTATAGTATTTAGAGTTTATTTTGAAACCTTTCGCTATTTATATTAAATTAGTCATTACGTATATCACGTGAATAATATTAAACTTCAAATTTTAAACTATCGAAAATTTCCCTCCTTTTAGAATTTTAAACTTTTTCGAAACTTTTCTCCTTTCCTTCGTACTTTCCCTGTCCTTCGTCCTATGCCTTTCCTTATCTCTCATTCTTTCTCTTCCCTAATTCTTCCCTCTATAAATTTCTTAATAATTAAAGAAACGTTTAATAAACGATTCGATTTTTCTTTTTTTATTATTACTAATTTTTATCCTTTTTTAATGTGCCAATGACCGAAATTTTTTTTTAAAAAAAAACTTTTTCTTTTAACCGGAAATTCTTAATTTTTTTTATCTTATAAAATTTACTTTTCTTTTGAACAAAAGCATAGAAAGAAAAAGGATTTTTATACCGAATATTGAAATAATTTATCTTTTTTTTGAAAAAAAAAAGGAACAGACCATTCAGCTGAGTATATTTTACTTAATCCACCTTTGTAGAGAAACCAGCTCCAAAATGAACGCTGGATTTCTAAGTTATGATTTTATAAAAAAATTTTTTTATCCCAAATAACGGTAAGTTTAAAAGAATGAATTTTAAACTATTAAAAGAAATCATTTCTAACCTTTTTTTTCTTTTTTAGGAAATCGGCTTCAACTTGGAAACCGGAAATCCCAAATATTGAAAAAATGAATTCAAAGCTTTTAAAAAAAATTTTTTTAGTTTCCTTTTTCGTAGGAAATCAGCTTCGAAAATCCAGATAAGTTTCGAAAAATAATTCGAAACTTTACAGTAAAAAACGATTTTATTTAATTTTTTCTTTTTTTAGGAAATCGGGTTCGTAACCGGAAATAATTCTGCGCCTGGTCATAACAAAAATAGCAGTTCTGAACATTATACAGAAATCCAATAGTCCAAAAAAATCGAGGGGAAGAAGCCTTCCAAAATCTGAATCTCCTTGAAAGCTTAATCGACCTTGAACAGTGAATCCTCATCCGTCCACGCGTCCTAATACCTCTCTCCCAAATCCAAATTCCAAAAAATTCCTCCAATCCAAAGAGCGTTTATAATCCATAAAATCCATTCTAGATTCCATTAAAAACCCTTTGGTATTTCCTAGAACAAGAAATTCTCGTTTACATTTATTTACCTATTCTCTACCGACAATCTATCCATACTCCTAAAAAGAACTAAAGAACCCATATCCAATCAAAAATTTCACGTGATGACCGCTGCGGCCTTTTTTAAAAGACCAGTCAAATTTTTTGCCGAAAATATAGGAATTTTACTAAACTAGGAAATTTTTTTTAGGAAAAAAATACATGATTATATATATGCATTGCCTCATCATTCCAAAATTTAATAAATTATAATCATGCGCTTGAATCACAATCATTTTTATTTTTGATAGATAACAAATTTATGATTATAGTATTTTCTTAAATGTAACAGTTTATAATAATATAATAAATATATTTTATACATATTTTCGATACATGATTATTATATAAAATAATATTTTCAAAATTATATTTTTAATATATAATCGATAGATATCGTTAACATATTTTTATCCTGGATTTCTAACATATGTTTGATATATCATCATAAACATCGAGTTATAAGAGAGTTAACGGAAATACACCATATCTGATATGTTTCAAACATATTTTCAGGTTCTGTAAAGTATTAAAAAAAAAAAAAAATTTTTTTTTTGTGCACTAGATTAAGAAGTCATTACTCGATAAACTTTTTTTATCATTATCACGTAATTGTTACTTTAAAATTTTATTTTTATAGGAAGAAGGTCTATGATAGATTTCATTACAAATCACGTGTCCATACAAGTTCTCTTTTACTTATCATCTTTTCGCGTTTTTTTTTTTGCAGTAAATTTCCTGTATAAACAAAGTGTGTTGTTATTAAAATATTTTATGACCTTTAAAAATAAAAAAGTTTTTATGTATTAATTTTTAATTGCTTCAATATTACTAACAATGTGCCTTTTATAAGTATGATATTTTACAGTAAAATTTAAAAATAAACTAAAATTTATTTAATTAAATACAGTATTTGCAAAGCTTTTAAACTATATGTGTTTTTTATAATAATACTGATTATGTTTCTTTTTGTTAATCATAGAACTTCATGCTTAAATTTTAATGTTTAACGTTTTAGATTTTGTATTATAGCGTATAGGTTGGTTTCTTTTTTATAAGTTCACAAAGATTTTCCATAAATGAAAGTTTTTATATATCTGATAGTGTTTAATAAAATTTATAGTAACTTCATAAAGAGTAATATATGATTGGCTAGAAATTTGTCGAATTTGTCATTACGTGCAAAATCAACAAATAAATTGCATTTCTCGTGATATCAATGTTTACCCGTGATGTTACAGTGTAATTATTTGATCGTCATTAGCTTGGAGATAAGAACGCCGAAAAGCCTGTGTAATGTGTCTAGCTTTAATCGTAGCATAAATTTGTTGATCGTACTAATCATGAAATTCAATATATGGTTAGTTTGATGCCCAAATATAGCTTAAACTTTTCCAGCATTTTTATATTAAACTTGAAGCTTGATGCATATATTTAAGCGTAGTAAGCATAAGCTTCAAGCTTCAAGCTTCAAGTGTTGGATCCGCAGTTATCTTCTTTACGGATGGTAGGTTAATAGGTTAATATATATTGAAACAAGAACGACAAGAACGATACCAAACCATAATATTTCAAGAAGTTGTCGGACATAAAGAAAAAGTTGGCAGAGATGATGAGGTAATTCATTATTTATTTAATTTATTTGTATATTAATTTTTTTTTTTTAATTTTAATTTTTTTTAATTTTTAATTTTTTTTCTTTTACAGTGGCTTATTGAAAAGCGGTGACTTTTTTGTTTATATTCAATGAACCATATAATTTACCATCATATGTATTATTCTCTAAGACATTATAATAAAATATTATTTTGATCTTAAAGAACAAAATGTCAGGATCTACAATTTATTAAAAAAAATATTGTGTCATCTATTATTGACTTAAACTAAAAAAGAATAAAACTTGGGATTCTATTATTATTGAAATGATAAATATGGATTATTAAAAATCCACTGATTTTCGTGATAGAATCTACTATTTAAACTATTTATCATGAGAATCTTCATTCAATTTTTGGTTAAACATTTGTTTTATACTGCAATTCCTGCAATACCTGCAATTCACATTGTAAATTATTCTGCAATTTGATGCGTTTTGATGTGTTTGATGCGTTTGATGCGGGAAATTCTAGTAGATGAATTCACTTTACTTTGTGTTGATCTTCAGCAGGAAAATCATCATATAAGAATAAATGCTATATTTTACCGAAATTTTTCTTTTTTTTTTAGTAAAATTGGTTGATAAACAGATAAAATCAATTATGATATGTGGCGTATGATAGAAAAAGAATTTTATCAAATGTTATCATATATACAGAAGCCATGAAATTTTCAACTTGCATTAAACAAACTTGCATTGCATAAATAAGCCCATAATTTCACGTGCATTTCTCAAAGACATGGGTTACTGTGAGTTTATTGTCTATTTTCAATAGAGTGTACATTTTAATAATTAAGCTTTCTGTAAGAACTGTAAGGATAACGATCAATATGGAAATGATAACTTTAATTAATATGAAAGTATTAGATTTGAACTTTCTAAAGTTTAATCTATTCAACATTCTAAATTTATATTATATGCGTCTTTTTATGTTATTATATGCATTAGAAGCTTTTTTACAATTTTTATTGGAATTGGAAAATTAGAAGACTTCATCATCGTACAACGTTGCGTACAGTACCAACCCCCCCCCCTGCAATAGTTTCCCTCTAAAGTACCGTGACTATTTATACTATTTAACAGTAAATTTCGATATTTTTGAAAAGTATCTGGTTCTAATTTTGGCCAAAATTTGATATTTGGCCAAAAGTTATTCCCTGTATACAAGGATATAACGATATGTTGAGATCCATATGAAAATCGTTGAAAAAAATATCGTTATATCAAAAATTATACTGATAATTTATATGTTCTCTCATATAGTGGGAAAGTAAAATTTTATTCGTTATTAATGGATTTTTAATATACTGTATATTGGTATATCGAATATCAGATCGAGGTCTGACTGTAGTACCCTCTCTTACATAGTCACCCCCAGGCCTGGGTACTTTTCAATCTAACCTAGCCTTTCTTGAATAATGATTCGGGTACTGTATGCAGCACTATATGGTATGTACAGTAACATACACTATATTTATTCTTTCGGGGGAACTCTTTAAATCAACAAGTTTAATAAGACATTATACATTTTATTTACCGTAATATATTCTAGTAATTACATTAAAAGTAAAAATAGAAAATTTTCGATAATTTGATGTTCAATTTTAGTCAATCATATTAAAAATATAAAATTAGAAATATACTAAAATAAATTAAACCCATTTGAAAATCAAAGCCGTGAAGCTCGCATTTTTTTTTTATTTTTTTTAGACTAGGGCGCGACTACCCACTTTGTAATTCACTGGATGAGATACAACGGAATAAGGATGACCTTCATCAAGAAATGCTAAGGATAGGTTAATAATATAGGAAGAAAACAAAGAATAAGAATGAAGAAAATTTAATTGAAAATTGCTCGATACAAGTTGAGTCGTCTACAATATCTGATAATAATGACGTTTAATGAAGGAATGATGTTTTAATGCTTTTAATGCGAGATATTTGACCAACATTATACATACAGTCATTGCATTTACTCCAAATCACGTGATTTATTCTTCGTGTTGACACGTAAATCTTTTTTTTTCTACCATAGTAATTATAGTTATATAGTTATTTTGTAGTTTTGTAATTTGTGTAAAAATAAAATTGATGACACGTAAATTTTTTTAATAAATTTAATATTTATTTCACAAATTTATTCAAATTATACATAATAAAGACTCGTATTTTTTTTTTTAATAAATTTAATATTTATTCACAAATATATTCAAATTATACATAAAAAAGACTCATATTCAATATACATAAATATAATAAGATAATAATAAACTATATATGTATATAATACGTAACTAATTTCTTTCTTTTACAAAAACTACAGAATGTAACTCTTTAACTCAAGCCAGCAATAGATAATTCTCTAGCTTTAGCATGCTTTCGTACAACTTCTGTCCAGCTAGATAAATTTACTCCTAATCTTCTACTTAAAGTTTCAAAAGCAGTTTCCAAATTTGTTGCAAGTTCTTGGAATTTTGTTTTTGTTGAACTTTCGGAAGATACTCGTATTGCAATAATAAGAGCTCTACGCAAGACAGTCGCAACCTACGCATATAAAAAAATTTATTATAAATTAAGTAATTGAAATTTTTTAAAAAAAAAAAAATAAAAAAAACCATTTATACTCACATCCAATAAAGTGTCAGTGTCACCCTTAATTGCTGGGTTCCTTTCTAATGCAAATACATCAACTAATACATCATAATAAAATCCGCTGAAAACCTAAAAAAAAAAGACAATCAGTTTAATAATTTTTTCGTGCTACGTCATACACTTCAGTCTTACATGAAGTTTATACTTACCAAAGATAAAGCATGTACTTCGGGTTGAGCTTTGGAACCTATAAGATCATTAGATAAGTTTCTTAAACCTTTTCCTTTATTATTGAATAAGGCGTCTCCAAATTCTTCTCCTACAGCTGATAAGAAATTGTTCGGGACTCTTAAATTTGCTTTTGTTAAAGTAACAAATAAATCTGCAATATCGGCCTAACAAAAAAAAAAAAAAAATTTTTAATATTTTAAATTTTTAAAATAATTTTGATTTACTTATTAACAATGTATACTTACCATAGAGATAAGAACAAATAAACTGCATAAATCACCGAAAGCTTCATGGAAACCACCAGTTTGTCCATCAGATCTCCATTGAGGTTGAAAAATATCCAAAAAGGAGTGGCCAGCTTCATGAGCCACCACATCTAAACTTCTACACAAAAAGATTGGTGTACCATCTTTTCTCTTGGTGAAAAAGAATTTCAAAGCACCTTCTTCGCGACTATAATAAGCATTAGCATCTTCTCCAGCATGAGGAAATATTTGAAGTCTCTTATTTCCCCAAGGTCTGGTTAATTGTGGTGGATTTCCATCAAGATATTCTAAATCACCCAATAACAAATCATATGTATATCGAACAGTTGAAAAAGTATGTACAACATCAAATCGAGTGTGATTATCTGATTCGTTGGGAGCTTGTGAAGGAGTATTGTCAAAATCTAATAAGAAATCTCCATTTGAATCAGGAGCTATCGGTTTTGCTGTTGATACTGTTTCGAACCAAGAATCAACTGGTCCCGATTTTATATCAGTATTTATTAAGAAAAGTTCGCGTATACCGATTGTCTTGACAGATGGATCAGATTTCCAGACTCTAACTCGCGATCCTTTACCGGGTGGTGGAACAGCCGCTTTTACAATTGAAGGTTGTTGCAAGCGAGAAGCCAAAAAATTTGCGCCCCTATATAATAAGAACGTATAAAATGATTAATATAAGTAAAAATTACTTATTTTTTTAAAATTAGAAATTTATTTGATTTAATGGTTGATTGATTACCTTGGGTAAATATTTTGATCGTAGTTAAACAATACGAAAGGTAATCTTTCAGGAGTTTTAAGCTCGAAGCCAAAAGATGATGATTTGTTTGAATCTGATGGATTAAATTCAAGGAATTTTTCATTATGGCCAACAATAACTGATTTGGTTGAGAAATCTAATGTGATAAAATTTAAAACAGAAAAATTTAATTCATGATTTCTTTCGTTCCAAAAAATGATCAATTGACCTTGAATTACAAATAATCACCTGGATGAGGAACGAATAAAAAGAGTTGCTCCGGTTTTGGAATTGTAGTACTTCCGTGTGTTTCACCATCTGAAAAATTCAAAGATCCTTGATTAGATTCAATGCTCACGAATTTTCCTGAAGGATTACGCCATGCTACTAACGGGATAGTAACTATAAAAGGAAAAGAAAAAAAAAGTTTTTAATTAAATATAATGAATAAAATGCATTTTTTATAACGTTAAAAGTATATTTTACCAAGGGTAAGATTTCTCAATATATCAGCAGAATCAAGCTGTTTATTATCACGCGTGTATCCAATTGAATAAGTGTGCTCATCATTCTCAACAAGATAAACTGCAGATTCATGCCAGTTATTGTCGGGTCTAATTGATAAAACAATATAGCTTAATTGAAGCGTCAATTATTTTTTTTTTAAAAAAGAAAAGAAAATTATTTACTTTTCTTTATTCGCTTTAAGACTTTTTCCTAGATATGCTCCATATTTCTTATTATACAACGCATAAAAGTTTCCGTAGTTATCTGTATTATCACGTGATTAACCGTTAGGAAATGAAAAAACGAAAGACTAATGGAATGAATATATTTAATATATCTACCAATTCTCCAAAGCTGAGAAGGATCAGTGAAATTGTAAAGATTTTTCTTGATTGAACCATCTTTTTCCATTGAAATGGCTAGCTTGCTAGAATCAATGAATGCAAAGTATCTGTAAACTTCACCACTACTTGGTTCAGCTTCCGAACTAAATGAAGCAGTGCCTGGACTGATGTTAAATGGGCGGTCAACGTTAACAGCGGGAAGCTTCCAGTTAATTTTCACTATATTAAAATAAAAGAAAAAAAAAAATATTAATTTTTTATGTTGATTTTTTATTTAATTTCGACAAAAAAAATTCCTACCATATTTTCCGGATAAAGCGGTTTCGGGACCATGAGGACTTGTTGCAGGGTAAGGTTTACTTGAACTATTTAAACCGGAAATAATGCTTCCAATTCTAGCTTTTTGTTCGTCGAAAACATGTTCTCTTGACCAACCAGACAATTGATCAAAGTAATCGGAAATATACAACGGGACATTTGTTTCAAGATCCTTAATTGCATTAATAGGTGTAATACCAGATGACCAAGTTCCATTTCCTATACCAGAAACAACATTAGCAATTTTTGTGGAGGATTCCGAGAAATTTTCAGCAGGAACATTAAAGTTTGCGGAGAGTTCATTAGCAATTGAGGTGGAAAGTGATTGAATCCAATCGTCTGAAGCCGTATAAACTGATGTTGCGTCTTTGGCAGGAGATTTTTTAAAGATATTTTCAATTACAGATTTTACAGTTTCTTTGGGAAGCTTATAAGCGATACAATGAGGAAAACTCTTGTGTAGACCTCCTCGAGGGTCAGGAGGGTCAGTCGCAATTATTTTGGTTATTGAACTTGCTAACAGCCTTCTTCCTCCTGTTGGTGTCATTGAGGTAGACATTTTGATAAAAGAAAGTTTTTGCACCAAATTCGAAAGATGCAAAGGTTTTGAGAGGTTCCGAGGACGGTAAAATGACCTAGTATTTATATCTGTTGGATTATCAAGAAATCATTTAAAAAAGACGTAAATCACGTAATTTTCCTTACCATATGGATTACTGTTTATTTCTTACAATAATGATGACTTGTCGGAAATTGTAGAAATTGTTTACCACATTTGGTTTGATGAATTCTTAATTTGTTACTTTAGCATAATTTGTGAGAAGTGAGGTGAGTACCTTCATCTTTTTTTCGGTACATAAATTCCGAAAATATTGATTTTTAAAATAAAATTTTCAAAGCAAAAGACAAAGAAAATTCAAATTTGTTATGATTAACCTGTTAACAGCTGAAAGATCAACTTTGCATACGCCCATGCCAATTAATTGTATTTTTGATTCGTTGGTATATAAAAATTCTTTTATAGTCTAATATTTTTATTGTAGGCCGTAGTTAATCTAAATATTTTTATTGTAGGACGTAGTTAATCTAACCTTTATTGTCTAAAGAGATCCTTTTTCATACTTTTGTCGCCCAAAAACAAATAAAACGAAAAACTTAATTTCTTTTTGTTTGTTTTTTTTTGAATAAAATTTTCCTCTTATGATAAACGCCACAAACTGCAAATTTTTTTTATAACCTGTATTTGGGCAATTTCCCACATAGTTATTATTTATATTCTCATTTTTGTTTAAATTAATCATCTTGATAAAGAGAAATGATGTACGAATTGCAGCTCAATAAGTTTCTTTGTTTGAACATTTCAATAAAGTTCAACCAAAAAAAAAAAAATAGGCTAAACTTGCAAGTTTAATTGCGCCAATAGCATAAGATTAAATAACATAACTTTTTACGAGTCAATTTATTTTTTATTATTCATTGTTAAAAAGTAAAAGAGGCTTTTTGGTTTAGTTTTTTTTTTTTCATTTCAATCGTCATTAACTAAATATCATTGAAAAAAAACCCAATTTTTCCTACTTTCCTGTTTTATATATTTCATACTAAATTAATAATATTCTTTTTTTAATCTACCGATTTTTTAATCAGTTGAGAAAAAATTACACAAATAGTTTACGTAAATATTCGGAGTATTGGACTTATCATATCTATTGTATTGAAAATGAATAGTCTAAAACTTGAAAAAACTTTTAATTATATTGATATAGAGTAAATATTTTTAAGAACTAATTCTAATCCTAATATTGATCTTAATCAATTACAATTAAAGATTATAGAGTAGCATCCTTACCTCCCTCCCTCCTACCGAACTCACGTCTTATAAATAATTTTTTTATTCATTTATTAAATAATCAAATATGATATTAAAACTTACTTCATTTTATATAAATGTCTAATTGTCATACATTGGCTTTTTTAAATTTAAAATATTGAATTTAATATCATTATGAATTATTTCATAAAGTAAAAAAAAAAAATAAATAAATAAAAAATAAATGAGTAATATTTTTAATTACACGAAAGTACACGAAAGATGATTATGAAAAAAATTGTGTAATATTTGTTAGGGATGGGGACGATCCAAACTGATACTATTGAAAAAACCGAATCAAGTCAAACCCGAAAAACCGGTTCGGTTCCATAATCAGTTTTTGTCAAAACTGATTTGGTGATGTCCGATTCAAGTCGCTCAACCTGAACCTTTTCCAATCCTAAATATTGTACGCGTATGATATGGATCATGAGGTTGTGTGATAAAAATTTTCACTCATGTATGGCATTTTTTTAATCCTATTTTCTGTTTATTTTATTTTAAATAATTTAACTTATTATAAACCAGAAAAAAGGCACGTAATAATCTATTGGTAATTATTTTATAATGAGAAAATTTTATATTAGATGATTTATTAGTTAGAGAAAAAATTGGAATGATTATTCATTTATCAATTTATCAAAATCAAGTATACTACTAGGGATGACCAGGCAATGGATCGGAATGAGGTCTAATCCAAACTGCCGAGTATGTTAATCAACTCGGTCTCGACGATTGAGGCACCTTTTGGCCTTGATCGTCGAGACCGTTAGGATTCGACAATTTGGATTAAACCTCATTCCGATCCAAATAAAGAATTATTATCAAATAAAGAATTAACTTATTAAATTGGATCTACTAAAGAGAAAAAATATTTTTTTTTTCCAATTTTTTAATTCTTTCTAAAATAAATAAAATAAGGAATATTAGTTAAATTCTTTCTTATATTAAAGAAACCGCTTGATAAATCAATACAACTATCTGCAACATGCTTTCTATTATTCCTCCTAACAAATTTTTATTATCTCAAGCATCCAATTTTGTGAATTCTGACCCTCTATCTATTAATCACATGTTCAAATCAAAAACAAACCTGCCTATTACCTACCATTTGTCGGATCGAGCTATTAATTTCTCCTAAAAAATTATTTTTGCGCTCACTATTCACAAAACCCATGGATTGATCTTACAAAAAGTTTCTTTTGCATCAAATGGTAATATCTTCTCCCCGGTCAAGCATGCGTTGCGCCGTTGCCTTGGCAGGTGCCGGGATAACGTCAGCATATCTCACCTTAAAATCAGCGTTTATGATCAATCTCTAAAATATCAAACATTATCACCACCATAAGTCCTCGTATATTCTCATAAATGCTTTTTATATTTATTTATGTAAACAATTTATTTTTATCCATTAAAACGTAATAAAATTTATATATCAAATATATTATTTTTAATTATTATCTACTTATAATATTAACCATATCTGAAAATAATATCTGATGTACAACGCGGTTTGGGACACAACAATTCATCAAATGAATTAAAAATTTAATAAAGATTTTTGAGTAAATATATTTAAAATATTTCAACATAATTTGGTAGATACTGATTAAAGCTACAAAATGACCTTGGGATTATCCTATTTGATTATCTAAATCAAAAGTTATTATCCTGTAAAATTCAGGTATAATTTTCAGATTTGAAACATATAATTCTGGTCAGTCATTATAATTTTGGCTGCTTAATTCTAGTCAATATCAATAAAGTTATAATAAGAATCTTAATTCTAGCTAAAATTAATGATTTCAGCCAGAATTACAGAGAAGTATAGTCACATGATTTATTTCTGTCCAATAAAAGTCAATATTAATTCAATCACGTGATTTTTTTAATTTTTTAATTTGAAACATATTGATGATTGTTGTGTCTCCCACTATACAAAACAATTAAACCGAATCACAAAAATAATAAGTCATAGGTAATTTATTGACTAGTTTAAGACAATATTAAATATAACCATTATTTAATCGGTTCGATTAATTCGTTTCGAATTATGTTAAAGATCGGTTTATAAGTGCGAAAACACTTTAGCAATTCACAACCTACCAATTGCATTAATAAAATTTACGTTGACTATAATAATTTTTTTGGATCAACAATATAATTGTAAAAAAGTAATAAAATTTATAAAATTCTGTACATTGATTGGATCGGTTCATATAAAATTAATATCTTGCATCAAAAATTTTCTTAAAATATGTTATGTTTTTTTTTTTTAATTAAATAATTCCAAAATCATGATAATTCAAAATCTTCACCATGATATATATGTTATGCCAAAGGTGTCAATTTGTGTCAGTTGATAACTGACGCGCATCAGGTGTTCACAATTAAGTCTTCTTAATTTTTCAAGTAAACTTTTATTTCACAATGAATTATACTTTATATTTGATTATGTGAAATTTTATATTGTAAAATTAACTTTTAATTTCTAAATAATTTTTAATGAAGTGTTTCTCATAAGCTTGATCTAATATTTTAAGATTACATATTTTTTTTAATGTGATAAATAAATTTATTTAATAAAAAAAAGTTAAGTCTGAAAAAATTTAAAGTTTAATTATACCTTAATGTTAGATAATCATATGGACAACAAAACATAATGAAACAATGAATAACTGTTGTAGGCATAAATTCAACAATCAAAAATTGTTGAGCCACTTTTGGGATCTTTAGTTTTGGTAGGTTCAGTGGTAGGAGATTTACGTACTGTACATTGGTAAGAAACTGTCAGATTCTAGTTCGAAATCGTCACAATAGGAATCAAAAAAAAAAATTTAATAAAGACATTTTTTTCGATGGAGTGCAGGATAGACGGTGAAGGGAGGCCATCGTTCAAGTTGTCTACAAAGATGAGAATTTACAGGCTAAGGCGGAAAAGGTTCTCGGATATATTGTATGGCTGTTAGAGGAGATGCAGCAGCCTATGGACGATTCACAAAGTGGTGAGCAATTGATGGTAATAGAAAAGCATAGGTCATCGAGCAATCTTACGGAAAAATCAGATACTGTAGATAGGTCTTAAGTTAGAAATTTCATGTATCACTGGCGTAAATCCGAATCTGTAATTTAATTTTCACATGTACGGGCCATATTCCGAAATTTGGATTTATCATTTGCCTGTATCAGTAAAACATTTATTTTATAACATATACATGAAAATATGTTTAAAAAATCAAAGTAAAGCATCTTTATTATGTTTTGACTTTACAATGATTAGGAAGTCAGTTTTCTATGTATGCCTCAATACATGTGACAATTGTGACATCCAATCACGTGCAAGATCAATTACAAACAATTAAAAGAAAAATGAAATAGGCATATATTAGTGGTTGACCAGATTGTTGGGATCGTCACCACGGGTGGCTTTAATAGCGTCAATATCCTGACTCCTCAATTCCGATAAAAGCGTCCTATATCTATCTTTGATGGCCTCTCCGAATCGAAAAATGACTTATATATACAGTCAAATGAATATTCGGCACGTTCAGACTCGTAGTACAAGTCGTAAATTCATTGTAAAATATCGTTAGGTCTCACATCCACCTGGCCTTGTAAATCAATTACGTCTTCATCTTGTTCAGTGCATGTTTTCTAGTGACTACCTGTAGATTGGGTAGATCTTGCTGACCGATTTGGATTGCTGCGTCTGGTCATGCTTGAATTTTGATTTTCCTCAGTCATATCTACAGTAGAAGCGTTGTCGGAGGTCTCAGTTGTTGCGTCATGAGGAAGACCTGGTCCCGTGTACTCAACGCCCTCCATGGGCTGAGGGCTGCTTCTGGATGAAAAAGGGTCAAACAAATTATCGCACCGGCATTTCAGACATTGACTAAAGTTCCTTTGAGCAACGTCTCGTACGAAACAGCTCGCATGAAATACATGCGAGCAAAGTCTTATGACGCACCCGTCCAGTAGAAACACATCATCTAAGCAAAAAGAACAAAAAAACCGCTTCAAGGGAATCAATCCCATCTATGTTAGGCTGCGGTGCATTTGTCAACACTATCATCAAGGCCAAACGGGTGGATTCTTTGAGAGAAACCATCAAAGGGAATAAGATTCTTTTTTCGTCGATGATCTGCAGGGGCAATTCTGAGATATACATAACTTTGTATCTGGTTATTGCGTAACTGTAGATCACTTATTTAAGGTTCCATTCATTCTTAAAGATTATATAGAAAAGATGTTATGTATAGACACCTATGTATATAGTGTATAGTGATGTGCACTATACGTTGATTTTGTGATTGTACGACATGACAAACATATTTTTTGTACGTATGTACACTAACCATACGTAATTGTTATATGTATATATAAATGTATCCAGTGGCGCAGCATATGTGAACCGGCAAATTTTGCAAACAGGGCCGCATTACGGCGTTATGCACTAACACGTGAAAACAAAGTGACGAATAAAGGCGTGACGAATAAGTTTTTACTCACTCGAAAAAAACTAAGTCCCTCAGATAATTATAAACAGTGAAACAAGGCTCGGGCGGGACAATGTGATGAATTAAAAATAGATCACGTGACTGTGCAAAAATTGCCGGTGCGGCTGGGCTAGTACTAGTGTAGACAGTTACTGCGGCTGCGCCTTATCATTTGTATTTACGTGCGTTTGGTCTCTTATTTCATTCATACGTACGTATGTTTTTATTTAATTAATATTTATTATTATTTATTTGCCATGTATGTACGTACAGTACACTCAGTGCAACCATACGTACATAGCCAAATTTCACCATACACTACACACAAGGGTCTCTATACACTACATGTTTCCTAATTGCCCATTCTTAAACGTTAAATTCTTTCGCCACACTTTTTTTCTTTTCATTAACCAAACAAACGTTATTAAAAAAAAATGGATGCTAATAAACTATTACAAAAATTATCTCAAAATTTACTTGAAATTTTGAATGATGACGAATATTGTGATATTAGGTTGGAGATGACCCTTACGTAAAAATATTCCGGGCTCATATGAACATTTTAAACTATCGTTCTTCTTATCTACGAAGAATTTTATCAACTATTGAAAGGAGAAATGATGGAACTTTGATACAAATTAAATTACCAAATATTTTACCAGAAATTTTTCAAATAATATTAAGGTTAATATAAGTCTTGTTGTTTTTATATAAACGTATTTTTTTTTTGAATGTGAAATTAATTATTTTTTATTTTAGGTATATTTATGGGGGAAGATTACCTTTGGAAGAATATGATGCTTTAGATATCATCAAAATTTTGGTTGCCGCCAGTGAATTAAGTCTTCAGGAATTGGTCGATTATATACAATCCTTTTTGACCAAAAATAAAGCGGATTGGATGGAACAGAATTTTAATTTGATATATCAAACAAGTTATGAAAAAGATTCATTCTTGGAACTTCAAAAATATTGTACTAATTTAATATCTAACAATCCAAATAAGATATTTAACTCTTTAGATTTTTCTACATCTCCTGAAAAACTTTTGATTTCAATCATTCAAAATGATAATCTTCAAATGACTGAAATTCAAGTATGGGAGAATGTTCTTAAATGGGGCTTTGCACAAAATCCTGATTTTCCTTCAGATCCTTCCAATTTTTCAAAAGATGATTTTAATTCTTTAAAGAATACTTTACATCAATGTATTTCTTTTGTTAGATTTTATAATTAAACTTCTAAAGAATTTTTTTATAACGTGGTACCTTATAAAAAAGTTTTACCAAAAGAATTATATATGGATTTATTAAAAACTTTTTTGGATTCTGATAGCGAACCAGTTGATAAACTAAATTCTCGTAAAGTAATTAATGATAATCATATAAACAAAAAATCATCAGATGAAATGCCACAATATCAGGTATCAATAAAAATTTTAACAATATATAGTCGTGTTTATTTGAACCTAAGTTAATTTAACATTTACCTTATCACTTTTATTAGGAGAATTACGGTCGGGTATTGATTAAGCTTTAACAAAATATACTTGTTTGTGTTTATTTGAATTTATATATGAATTACTTTAACATTTATTCTATCATATTTAAAAGGCGGCAAAAATTCCGGTATCAATAAAAATTTTAACAAATATACTTGTATTTATTCGAACTTTGTTGTTAATTTAACATTTACCTTATCGCTTCTAGTATAAGAAGAATTACGCTCAGGTATTGATTAGGCTTTAACAAAATATACTTGTTTGTGAAATTTACATATGAATTATTTTAACATTTATTCTCATATTTAAAAGGCGGCAAAAATTCTGGTATCAATAATAATTTTAAATAAATATACTTGTATTTATTCGAATCTTGTTATTATAAGTTAATTTAACGTTTACTCTTATTATAAGGATAATTCCTCTCAGGTATTGATTATACTTGTTTACGTTTATTTGAAAATTACATATGAATCATTTCAACATTTATTCTATCATATTTAAAGGTGCCAAAAAGTCAGGTATCAATAAAAATTTTAACAAAATATAGCTGTTTTATTTGAACCTTGTTATTATGAGTTAATTTATATTTACCTTATCACTCTTATTATAAGGATAAGACGATTGCAGAAATTCACGAAGATGTAATTAGGGATTGGAATCGATTAATCGAAAATCGACAAAACATAGTAAAATCGATTCTCGAGAATCGATTCTCAGCAATTTTTTACATATAAGTTAACCTGACTCCAAAGTAATTTTTCATACCAGCCAAGTGCTGATTATTTTCGTTGAAATTAGAAACTGATTCAAAGTTAGGTTGGTCGTCTATAAGAAAAATCTTGAAAAGATTCGATTTTCGATTCCAATCCCTAGATGTAATGAAAATAGTATAGAGAATATACGTATATTTAGTACATATAATAAATAAATATTCTTTTTTTTCAATTTTAGGCCGCAGAACAAAAAGAAGAGGCTGACTATCTGAGACGAATGACTAGTTCAGGTGGTAGAGGTGAGTTCATTTAAAATTAGGGTAGCTTTTTACTTAAACTGTTATTAATTAATTATAATCAAATTTAGGTATGCCTAAGATGGCAGAGCAAATGTCGCGCAGTGGTTCAAGTCATCAACATCGATCAAACAAAAGAACGATACAATCACCAGATGGATGGAGTACCGTTGGAAGTTCATCACAAAGAAATAAAGAAAAAGTTGGTGACCTTACTAAATTTGGATCAGTAAATCGTAGTAAAATCGTCAGTTTAGCACCGGGAGGCATATTAGGAGGCTTATCAGGAGGGGCTAAAGGTTGGTCCAAGGGTAATGAAAATAAAGATCCAAATGATAAACCTGGCCTTAATAGGGCGAATTCAACAACGAATATATATAGCGTATTAAATTCAGAGAGCTCAGAGGGAAGGAAAAGCTCCGAATCAAATTCATCAGACACTCAAAAACCCTCTCCACCAACAGAGCGTAAAAAATTAATTTTAGCTCCACGTACAAAGAGTTTCACACCTGAAGAGCCTGTAAAGTTGGCATCATCATCACAAACAACAGTAAAGTTAGATTCAAAGAAGATCTGTAAAAGTATTGTCAATATGGTGGAAGAATACTTTTCAATATTGGATAGTCAAGTATGTGCAATTAATATAGGTGTATTTTTGTAAGACCCCCCTCTATATTGTAACTAAACATTGATATGGTTATATGATTTTTCAGGAGGTCATTACTTGCCTTAAAGAGGATATTCCAGTAGGATACCATCCAAAGGCAATAGAAACATTCGCAAACAAAGTGATCGAGAAAAAGCAGAAAGATGTGGATGATATTATGAAATTGTTCAAAGAAATTGTATCCTCCAGTACTTGTGATAATGATGCTTTTAAAGATGGTTTTAAAGCTACTTTAGAATTTTTGATGGACATTGGTGCAGATGCTCCAATGGCTTATTCTTATACAGGACAATTGTTATTTAGTACTGAACTTTCTTTTCGGGATATTACAGAACTTCTTAAACCTTTGGATGATGATATGGCAATTGATAAAATTGTGAAAGGATATGCGAAGGCATTAAAAAATGATGTGGTATGTTAAAATTATTTTCGTACATTAAAATTTTTTTAACTAGTTTTTTTGTTTTAATATATTTCTGTATAAAATAGGATGAACAAGAATATGTACAAAAAATAAACGAATTTGATCTTACATCGCTATTCCCAAAGAAAAATAAAGATGATATAAACAAATATATCGAAGATCTTGTTAGATAAAAATTTTATTTTCTAAGTTGCATTATTGATTTTTTTTTATCATTTTTTTACTGATTTTACATTCTTTTTCAAATTCAGGGGTGGTCTTCAAAAAAATAAATATATCGGGAATTTTTTAATTGTAAATGAACATTTTTTTTTATTTTTTCAGAAAATCAAACTGATAATAAGGTAGAATTCAAATATTAAAATGAATTTAAGATGAATTTTAATATTTTACGCCTTAGAATAGTATTCATATAAATAAATATCAATTCAAATTTAAAAAATATTGATTAAATAAATTACAACTACTATATGATTTTTTATTTTAAATATAGGTTAATCATATAAAAATTACTATGTTTTAAATGTCATTTTTGAAAATCTAACAATTTAATAGTACTTGTCTTGTAAAACAAAGTTACCAGTTTATCCCTTTAAAATTTTTAAATTTTTTAAAATATAGAAAAATTTATAAGCATCCCAATTTTATTGAATTAAATATAAACTTCTTGCACTATATGCACTATATCAAAAAAATCTTTATAATGCCATTCAAAAGTTTTAAAATATTTATAAACCTGATGCTACTAAAGTTAGACTTACCTATAATTACTCTATACTTATTTAACATTTATTCTATTTTATTTAAATGACGTCAATAATTCAAGTATCAAAAAAACTTTAACAAAATATAGCATTTTATGAGTGAGTTAATTTAACATTTGCCTTATCACTCTATCTTATTATAATGATAATTCCGCTCAGGTATTGATTAAGCTCTAACAAAATATACTTGTTTATGTTTATTTGAATTTACATACGAATTATTTTGCAAAATATCTGTATTTATATTAATTTGAAAATTTTATTGAAATTTAATAGCCAAGTAGATTTTATCGTAATCAGGTATTGATATAATTTAACAAAACATTCTTATATTTAAATTTTGTAAATCCATTTAATAATTGTCTGATCTTAATAATAACAGATCAGTAACCAGGATAAAAACAAAAAGGTAATGCTAATTTTAACAAAATTGACTGTATAATTAATTATAATATTTGAAAAGATTTATTAATTATTTAACATTTTATTCTAATAATTTTTATTTAGAAGTCAAGTAATTCTTATAATGATAATGATTGGTGTTGATAACATTTGACAAAACATCCTTATATAGAATTTGAAATTTATGTTGTAAGGTATTTAATGTTTGTCTAATCACTTATAAACAGGATTTGAATTTGGTAAACCAATATAAAAAAAACTAGTGTAAAAAAATTTCCTTTTTTTTGTTTCCCAATTTTTTTAGTTCTTAGATCTAGATTAGGATGCAAACAATATTTTTTATTTCATTACAAATATTTTCGTGGCCATCATTATGACATACTTTTGGCCAGAATTAAAATTCTAATAAAACACTAGCCCATAATTTCACCACTAGTTACCATCACCACTGGTGATATTTAGCAATACTAAATAAAAAAATATTTTTGTATATCATTGAAAATTATATTATTAAATAATTTTTAATAAAAAAAAAAAAATCTAATTTAACCAATTAACCGGAGGGGAAATTCCTCCCGTAACGAATAAGAGGTGACAAATAGGATTTTTAATAACAAAAATTTCTGTCCCAAGATAAATAAAGATCGTGGGGTGATACGTCTGATACGACTAACCTAACCCTAACCTAACCCTAATCTTAACTCAAACTCTCATAAATATTAGGGGGAACCGATTAAGTATTCAGTAAATAACTTTTTTATCATCCTAGATATACTAATTGGTCCGCCACCCTGTAAAAAATCTGATCTGTGTTTTATCTTTCTATGTTTTTTCCGTGAATGTATCAATTTCATGGAATTTATAGCCTCAAAATGTAATTATTTTCTAAAAAAAAAGTGTAAATTTTTATTATAAAATGAAAAATATTTTTTTTTTGATAAAAAATAAATATAAAAAATACAAGAACAATTAATAATCTATATTATTTTATCTATATTATGGAAAATCAATATAAAAAAACCGATATAAAAAATTCTTTTTTCTGATTGCGTGATATAGTACAAATGTAATATAAATATTTGTGACTTATTAAAGGAGTTTGAGAATTTTTTATTAAACAAAAAAATTTTTAATAAAAGAATTGAATCTTTAAATCAAATCTTTAAAAACCCACTATCATTTGGATCTTCAGGAACTTGTTATGATTTAAATATCTTCATATTAAATTAATTAAAGAAAAATTCTTACACCGATAAAAATATTCTTTCTTTCTTTTTTTTTTGTTTAAATCTTAATTTAATTTAAATAAAATTATTTTTTTAAATAAATAATTTCAGCTGAATTTATGGTCTAATTTTGGTCAAATTTATAGTCTAATTTCAGCTA